GTAAATATTCATTTGGTAAGATAACCCTGTACATATATTCACTTAATTTTTATATATTTCTGGTTTCAGAAATCATCTGCCCAGGAATAAATAGATAACCTCAAAACAATTCACTGGAATAATTTTGGGAGGAGGCAGGAATTCACTGCATCACATCATGTTCAACCTGATCAAAGATCACTATGGGGGTGGGGTGGGGGGCTAACCGAGAATAAATAAATCAGACTAAATTACCCCGGGTCTTTTCCTTGGAATTTACCATTGCTATTGAAGTGCTATTGTGACTTCTCTCCCCCCCCCCCCCACCCCGTATATATCACGAACATCTCTTGTTTATTGTCAACACTGGAAATACCCCAGTATCCTCTTATCCCAGTGTGTAACAGTGTGGGAATACCAAGCTCCCAAAGCCTATCCCATTTACAGAGGTACACCATGCCAGAATGAGCACTCCAACTCCCATATGGGCGCGGGACAGCCAATGACGTCTAAGAACAAGGACCAGCCAATGACGTCTAAGAGGACCTCACCTCACTGTACCTGTTGGCAGAGCAGAATATGAAGAATGAGGGGGCTTCAGTCACACTACGGCCCACCCCCTCCCACGTGGCCGTTTCTAAATAGGGGTGTTTGTTTAACACACAGGTCATTTGAAAGCTCTCCTGCAACACACACACCAGAGCAGAGCTCAAAAATGAGCCAGATGTGATGTAATCGGAAAAAGCGAATTCAATTTTCCAAGATACTGAGGTTCTTGCAGGGATATGAGTTTATGTAGCATGTAAACAATGGTATACATTGTAATACAGTCTTGTTTTATTTTAACCTTAGTTGCCTTTACTTTTTTTCATGAGCATTTTTGAATTTTGAAATTTGAATATTAGGTTTTCTAGATTATTTCTTTTCATTTCTGGCAATACAGCATGTCTCCCAGCCTACTGCATATGTGCTTGAGAGTGTGTGAGGGCGCGTGTGTGCGTGTGTGTGTGCGTGTGATTGTGTGTCTGTCTGTCATACAATTTCGCTGGGTTTTAGACCCAGTAACCCTCTGTGTACAAACAGGATTTCTTAGCCCTGGTTGTAGTTAAAACAATCATTAAATTAAAGCTAAAGATCTGAATCGCACAAGCATTGCATGGAACTGACCACAAATATTCATCACTTCGGAAATGAATAGGATGTCTAGAGGGACATTATTGAATTCAATTAAAAGCAGAGTTAATCAAAACTTTACTTGATGGGGCACAAATACTTATTAATAACCGAGTTACTAATTAAGTACAAATCATGAACAAATATAGTCACTGCTTGAGATAAAAGATGCATCATGACTCATTCATGATGAACAAACATAAGATCAGTATTTCACTTGTGTCTTTTATGACTTGTTCCTTTAGTAGTTCCCTTAATAGTTCACAAAGATTTACAGGACTAAGATATAGTAACAAATATAGTAACTGCTTGGGATAAAAGTTGATTGATGATTCATTAATCATGAGCAAATACGAGATCAGTAATTAACTTGTGTTATTGATTCCTTCAGTAGTTCATAAAGGTTTACAGAATTAACACAGATAGTAATAAATACCGTAACTGCTTGAGATAAAACGTCAGAATTTATTAATAATGAATTAACAATGAGTATGTAATTAATAATTAGTATGTAACTAAGACATACTTTGTGGTTAATGAATACATAAGTAATAGTTAAATGCTATATTATTTGTGCCAAAAATGCATTCACTGGTTTCCAGGCCCATGGTGAGATGTCCACACCGTATGTGGCAAAAGTAACTCGTATTTCCCAACCGAATCCAAAGGAGGCAGGAGTGAAACTGGTCCATTTCCATATAAACTTGAAATCCCCAACACTGTTCTGAATTTCATACACACATGCTTACATTGAAAAGCAGTGGGAATAAAACTAGAGCCTTATGTAAGCTGTCAACTAATGTAAAACCAATTTGAAGCAAACCTTGATTTTTGTGGTATTGAACAAGTTTTGAATGTACTTCCAGTGTATACTGACCTCTACTGGACAGAGGTGAGGAGTACACACTGATTACAGCAGGCTGCTGTACCTGAGTGTAGCTGTGCAGCAGGTGGTACCTCAGCACCACACCAGTCCAAATGGACCGGTGTGAGTTTTCTTCTGGTGGCTGGAGTGCCAATCCTGCCACCAACCCCCAAATCTCCTTGTAAGCTGGAGGACCTCCTTACCGAGCTGAATGTAGATTAACATCATACCCAGGACGAAACATTTCCAAGTTAAGGACCTTGCTCAAGGGCCTAACAGAGTAGGATCACTCCTGGAATTTCACAGGATTCGAACTGGCAACATTCCGATCACTGGGACAGATCCCTAGCCTCAGAGCAACCAATCCACCAACTGGACAGGAGACATGGAAAATAACGTCTTCACAATCATATTCTCCAAACTCCAGCATGTAGTATCAACAAAAGAATCTATTATAACTAATAAAAAATTATTTGATTAACCTTCAACTACAATGAGTATGACTTTTAGGCACAAAGATATTTATTTTGTGTCAGTTTGCTTAATGCCTAATGACTTTTGATTAATATGTGAAATCACCCTTTATTTACACTTGGTGAGCACTTTATCAGGCACACCTAGATAGACCCAGATAGGACCCACTTTTTCCTCCAGGACTGCCTAAAGCATTAATGAGTTGTGTGTCTGCAGAAACATTTCAGCACACCACTGTTGTGACGTGCTATTATTTTTGCAGTTGTGACCATCTTGTCAGCTTTAACGAATCTGACCGTTCTCCTCTGACCTCCCTCATTTTTGCCACAGAACTGCCACTGCTTTTTGCTAATCACACCATTGTCTGGAGACTGTAGAGCATGAAAATCTCGGAAAGGTGGCAGTTTCTGAGGTGCTGGGACAGACAGACCAGGTAGATCCTGGGGTAGCTGATAGGGCATTTTGAGGAAGAGCTGAATTACACACACACCTGTAAACGTTCAAAGCGATTATTCCAGTTGCAATAACTCTGGCCAAAAAAGTTCTATGCGATGAATCCCGTGGACTTTGGAAATACGGACAAGGTTTAGGGTTCAGCATTGAATGGTAACACTAGAGGGCAGCCTTGTCATATCTGGAGAGGGATACGGGGCTTCTGGTAGAAAGAAAACCAGCAAAGTGAATTTCAGGGGTACTTTTCCCTGAGGTCCAAACTGACCAAACAAAGCCAAGGACCACGGGTGGGGGGTGGTTTCCCTTGACCATGGGGGGAGTTGTGGTTTGGATTATATTGTGTTTTGGTTCAATTCAGACCAGAGTACCTCCCGTGTATGTCCTCAATACTTAAATTGGACTCAAAACTCAAAGGCAATCATTTAGCAGTATGGATGCCTGACTCAGCCATTTGCAGTGATATTCAGGATAAATTATCATCACTCACCTGGATACATTTGATGCTGAATTCAGGTTAAACGTCTTTTTCAGAGGAGCAGAAGCAGGGCACCTCCTGGAAAGTGAACCAGCAAGTTTCAGGTTACACAGAAACGTTCTTTGCTGCTGTACTCCCTGCTGGCCACAGAGCCCCTAAAACATCCGCTGAACTGAAAACCTCCCTTAGTTTGTAATGTCTTGTGACTCATATCAGAAGCTAGAAAAGACATGAAGTATACTGTCATACTGGGAATCAAACCAGGGTAAACTGGTTGGAAGGTGCTAATCCTAAACTCCAGCCAACCAAGGATCTTAAGTTGCAACCAACAAGTTGAGGGTCATCTCCACATACTGACAAGCCCCCGTTTCTCACCTGCTTCTCAGTGAGGAAACAATAGCATCCCCCCCCCCCCCCCCATTGCTGACCAGTCTACATTCATCCATTTCCTGAACCAACTTTTCCGATTTTGGACCACAAGAGGTCCTGGGACCAGGGGCACAAGGCAGGAAACAAACCAGGACGAGGCAGCCGCCCATCACAGGGCACACTCACTCACCCCATTTACTCACACATGCACAGCTATGGGCAATATAAGCATGTTTTTGGACTGCGGGGGGGAAACCAGAGTACCCAGAGGAAACCCCACAGCAACACATGGAGCCAAGGCAGAGACCTGAACCCTGGCCCCAGAGGTATGAGGCAACACTGCTAACCACTGCCCAGTCACACCACCCCTGTCCTGGCTTCAACTAATTATTAACATATCTGAGTTGGAATTCTATACTGCTCTGCATATGTGTTCATGTGATTATCCAGCAGAGAAGCCGACTGGTCTCCAAAAGGCAATTATCATATTTGGTTGTCAAGAACTCAGCCAGAATAAACAAGTTCAATAAACACAATCAGTCGCCGTTGTTTTCTAGCCTACTACTGAATTCAGTAAAAAGACAGAGGTTGGAAAAGGTGGGAGAGTGGAAGTTATTGTACCCCAGAGAAAAGTACTTTACGTGAATCACTTTTGTAATTAATCCATCTGTCACGTTATCAAGATGTTATTTCCACTATGTAGGTCGAAGCTGCGCTTAATCGTGACTGTGGTTGAATGGTGCCGCATTCCCTGTTATTGTATGTTAGACTGGAGGTCATTCGGAGTCTGAATCTGCAAAATCTGCCTGCTAAACTTCTATATAATGTGAGAAAGGAATTTATTGTAATAAGAAAAAATGGGGGTGTGACTGTATTCCTATGTACTTTTTGCCAGCACAAAGTCTTTGGAGTAGTTTGCGAGGGAGCTACGAGTTTGAGCTCCAGTAACCGCGGAAGAAGCCGGGAATGCGGCCATTCCGTGAAATGCCACTCCTGGAGCTATTTTCAAAGGGGCCCATTGTGAACCGAGTTAAGCAAGCCAATGTATGTGGCGGATGAGGGAGAGGAACCAAGGAAACCAGTTAATGGCAGAATTGTTCCAGATTGGTCCTGGCTGTTGCTCTGTCTACGGTGCATCTTATGCACAAAAGCGGCTCTGCGGCTGCCCGCTCAGGCCTCACCTCCGAGCGGCTTCTTCGGGCGTCTCCCCAGCGACACGGACAACAAGCAGCGGGGGCAGCGCTTTCTGCAGTGGGTGGGTGGAGGTACCATAATTGCTGTAGTTGCGGGCATCTGCGGCAGACGACGACTGCAGAAAGGCAGAGAAAACTCCAGCTAATTAAGGTATAGCAGCTCAGCATTCGTCTAAGAAAACAACACCTTCTGACAAGCGCTGAAACATATATTTATGGATGGTTTTAGGCGACTGGAATTAAGGCTTCTTTAGCAGCAGGACACGTCGGACAAAGTTCACAGTACACGTTCCTGGATTTTTTTTTTTTTTTTGAATAACGGACATTCAAGCAAGCAAATAAATAAGAAACTATTTTGAAAAAATAAAGGCACACATTTCAGCTTATTTTACACGTGTTTTTTCGTTTACAGTAGGCCTGGCTACTGTACTCTAACAAGCTAGTAGAAATTATTTATAATTAAATATTTCATATTTTAATAAATATCCAGTATGGCAAAACAAAGCACAATTTCCCAAACTGGAGATCAATTGGTTAATTAATGACAGCAATTACTAATCCGTGGCGAGGTTACGATGCGCTGTGAGCCACCGTCTGGTTTAATCCAACCGGAACCAAAGTACCCACGTGACTTGAATTAGCCCGCTCGGCTATTGGCTGTAGGTTTTTACATTTTACGTGGGAGGTTACTATTAATCGCACCATTAATACATAAAAAAACATTGTGTTCTCTAAGTTGCTCTCAGCGTGTATATACCCTGTCATTTGGTATCCCATGTAGGGTGTTCCCCTGCCCTGTGCCACATGTTGCCTGGGATAAGATCCAGAACCCCCCCCCCCCCAAAAAAAAAATAAAAAATCAGGAATAGAGTACGGGGCACATTCTTAAGAACTATATTCATCATATACTTCCTAATTGCCCATCAACACATAGGCATTTTACTTGTGATTCAAAAGCAGGAAATTTTGAACCATGGAATTTCCAGATCCACATCGTTTCTGAAATAAAAATGTCACCTCCCTGAACTAGTGTATACACAACATAAAATCCAGTTAATAAATCCATTCATTTTATGTATTTCGTTTTCAGTGATAATATTTTCATGGTGATTACAAAATCCACGTTATAAATTAAGAGCATTTTAACTGAAAAAGTTAACCCGTGTTTGCGGGCGCTTTTGGTCTTCGTATACATTTCATGGATCACAGTTGTTTTCAGTTTGAACTGGACTCTTTCAGGGAGGCTATGGCACATTGCTGTCCCGAGGTTAATTAAGCGAATGTACATTGGGGAGCTACTGCTTCTGTGTGAAACTAAGCTGCATGCTCTTACAAATTTAATATTTCTAACCGATACAAAATGTATCCATAGTTAAACAGATTTAAAGCCTTTTCGAAAACAATGTATGTTTCGCATAAGCTTAGGGCGATCCATTATTCCCAAATAGTGTTAGCTCGAAACTTTTCCAGCACGTGTGCCGGGCAAATGCATTCTGCAGTGTTTAAAAGCTGCACATAAATAATCAGTAGTTGGCCCGGAGGTTTTCCTATCTCTGCTGTAAAAGGGCTATCTGACTACAAAACTTTACAAGGCGTTCGAGACAGAGAAGACACAAAGAAATAGCGCTAAATAAAATCCGACAGTTACTGCTGTAATTTCAAACCTAAAAACTACGAGCCTTTCGGTCACTGGAATTTTTTTCTTGCAGTAACATTTAACAGCAGGATTGCCACGTACTAAAACTAAAGTTTTCACATTTTCGGGTAGACACAACTACAGCCACACGCAATAAGCCAAATTTAGTACCCGCAGGCAGCGATTGTAAGTTTTGAGGGGGGCACAATGCAACTGTTGATCCTCTGCCGAGCCCTCCCCGTTTCGTACTCCGCACAGAACTTTTAAAACTGACCCACTTATAACCGTCCCCCCCCCCCCCTCCTTGTCACTCATGATCCCTTTTTCCTGTGGACTGAAAAGTAGCTCTCCATCTCTCCCCCCTTTGGGTAGCCGCAATGTAGTAGCGGTGATGGAAACCGGGGACCTTCTCGACGCCGCATGGACAGCCGCGATCATCTGAGGACGCGAGTGTCGCGGCCGGAGCAGCGCATGGAGACGGTGGAGCAGCTCGTGTCCTTCCACCACATCCAGGTCCAGCTGCACGGAGGGGCTCCGTGGGGATTCACGCTGAAAGGAGGTCTGGAGCACGGGGAGCCGCTCATCATAACAAAAGTATGGCTTTGCAGTTTCTACCCCGCTAACATACGCCTGTCTGGGGGCCATTAAATACGTTAGTTTACACTGTTTTGGTATTTTCGGTATGTCTGAATTATGTGCCTCTTTTGCACATTGTCACTCCAACATGTACAGAGGTTGCCTTTTACATTTCTAACAGAACCCTACTGACAGAACATATCTGAGAACAAATCAACATTTGCAAGTGTTTCTAAAATGCAATGTTTAACATCTTTTTTGGACATGGAAGGTTAAAATTTATTGAGACTTATAACAAGTACTAAATATTTTATTAGTTGCGTCCGTTGCTTCTGGCCAAGCGCAGCTATCCAAGTCGGTTTTGGCCATTTCCACCTATAGTCGAGGGTCTTTCCAAATGTTGCTTTCTGCCAGAATCCACCTGAGCTTGCTGTTTGTTCCCTGTCTGTATTTATTTCGTTAGGTTTATTGAAATATCGTGTTTACTTTGTGCGGGTGTTAGGCTATAAATTTTATCTTCTGGAAAACTGTAGGCTCTCACGATTCCGTTAGAGATCATAAATCACATGTAAAGTAACTGTATATTGCTTGTTATATTCCAGTGTAGTATTGTAACGCAGACAGAGGAAAATATGTTAAAGCTGGACTCGTTGTAGTTGAATCACTTTGTTTAACAATGTAGGAAAATATTCGTCGATCGTTGTGCTGTTCATGCATAATCTAATGTCTGAATGACAGACATTGAAAGGTAAACATCTGAATGAATTAGACATTAATTAGGTAAGTATTTTGCTGTCTGGATGACAGCATTACTGAGCCTTATCTGCACCGTGGGAGGGTCCCGCTCCAGGCAGCTTTGAAGGGAATTTCACACGCGGTGAATTTTTCCGCTTCTCTTCTCCCATCTAACATCCGACGCCCGGGAACAACTCCCATGGTGTCCCGCGGTGAACTTTGAGCCTTTGAATCGTTTTATTTACTGCCACCTAATTCGCATACCATAGCGCGCAGTGTCTTTTCCACACCCACCTCCTCTGCGCCGCCATGAAACTTTCACCGAAACTGGGACGGATTTATTATTATTTTTTTTAAATATAATTTTATTTGTTTATGTCAGTGAGGTATTCAACGTACGTGAGAGATGGCAGATTACAAATCCAGGGCCAAAATACCAGCATATAAACTCTTGGCTTGTCCTCAGCTAATCTGAATGGATGTTACAACAATGGATTTACAATGAATCCCGCGTGTGTGTGTCCGCGCGCCCGTTTCTTTTTGGCCAGTGGTGGAAAAGTAAACATTTTATGTCAATTTTTGTGTCCAGACTGTAGAAATTTTCCATGTCCCCAGACATTTTATAATTTGCATACTGAAACCATGCATGTTTCTTTGCGTCCCAGTCTCCAAATCCATGAATGAAGACATTGTGAGATTTTTCCCTGTGAAATGATAAACGTTGCTTTCATCTAAGAGTCTGCCTTTCAGAGTTCACCTTAAAGGCAGAGTCTCCATTTTGAGACGTGACACTGGGGCTGTTCTTACGCAGCTATTCTGTGTAATTGACGGGTTGAGCTCTGTGACTTTGTGTCTACCTGAGTGACACTGAAAAAACATTTAAAACATTTTAAAAACTCATGATTGAACTTTTTTGAAAGGAGTAGGCACTTATGTTCTATCACCGAGGATTCATCTTAGCTACAGTGACTTACAAGTTTTATACATTTATACAGCCAGATATATTACTAGGGGTGGCATGGTGGTGCAGTGGTTAGCACTCACCCTTCTGGGACCTGGGTTCCAGTCTCTGCCAGGGTTCCATGTATGTGGAGCTTGTTCTCCCTGCGTCGCCGTGGGGTTTCCTTCAGGTACTCTGGGTTCCCCTCCCATATATGGTTGGAATATATTACTAGTTAAATTCCTTGCTAATTCTGCAGTACTATAGCCGGGTTCAAGAACTTGAATATACATCCTATAGGTTATGCAGCCATGTCACATCACTGTATTGCCCGGAGGAAGTCTTACAGCTGTCGTTTTATGTAATTGGATCAATATTTGCCTTTAGTTTAGAGAATTGTTATGTCTGAGAGTGACACCTGTAGAATGGTGGATTTTATGTCTTTACTTTTTGCATAGTCAGTGCTGGTTTATTGCAGCGTATTTCCAGTGTCCAGACATGGAAAGGTTCCCAGTAGATATACTTGTTATTGTTTGAGTCGAATGGGCTGATTGGCGGGGTGGTCGGACTCTTTTGCTGCGTCCCACTGGAGTGATTTATTTTTCTTGAATGATGATATTGATGAGGAAACAAGCCCCCAAGATCTCATTCTCTGACTCCTTTTTTTGGTAGAGGGGGGGTGTCACGTGAGTTGGTCGTGCTTGTAAGTCGTTGGTGTGTGGCGCCTCTCCACATCCATTTTCACATCTTTTGCATGTCTGTATGTGAGAGAACATGAAACGTATGTGAGAGCATACTTTGAAAGTTTCATTCGTGATACAGATTCCAGTTCACCCAGTGGGTCTGTCGCAGGCCTCTGCTGTGGCATGTAGAGCTTTGGTGTGTACATTCCCAGTCTCAAAATTCCAAAATGTAACTTTCATAATTCCAAAGTACAATACTCACTAATGTTTGTCTTACCAGAGTAGTTGTTTGTTAGGTGTTCTTATGTAAAATTGATATCAGCCACACAAGATAAGTGAGGCGTAGGAGAGAAGTGTTGCAGGTTTGCTCTGTGACCCGTTTCGCTCTCTTATGATAAGTGCGGACCCAGGGGATGCTGGGAAAATGAAAATGTCGATACATTTCGCCCCCGTCTTAGTCTTGCTTTCTGTCAGCACAGAACTCCATCTGCATTTTGCTCTTTCTTGTCTCGAGCTCTGGTGAGCCTTGCACCTCCTTGGCAAGGAGAATTAAGCCCTCGGGCGAAGAGCGGAATGCCACAGCATTCGCCCAGTGTCAAAGCCGTCTGGCCCCGACAGAAAATGGCAGACGATGTATCTGTAAGGACAGCTGACAGGCAGCAGAGACACCAACTAACTAAATACACAGATTTGTGAGGGTGGAGGTTATTGACCCTCAGCTGTTACTGACTGACCCTCTGCTTTTGCAGGGTGCTGTACATTACATTTATCAATATCAAACCAGTAAAACTAGAGAGAAATCCATCCATCCATCCATCCATCAGTCTTACAAATGGTTATGGGTCGCAGAGTGATAAATATCTATAGAAAATATCCAGCGGAATACAAATGGGTTGAAAGCATTGGGCTGCTTTAGATAGCATCAGCAAAGCAGCGTAATAGCAATGCTAACAATGCGAGCTACATGTCGAGGCACGGTGGCGGCATCCCAGGAGACGGAGACGCTGACATGCCGTCAGGGTCCTGGGCTCTTTCTGGCAGTTTGTAACGCTAAGTTGGCTACAGGAGAGGATTTTGGGAAAAAGCTCCTTCCCCCCTTTGCCCGTGTGCTTCAGGGCTCATGCCATCACTCCCCCGACTGCATTACCCAGCTTTTCCAGACTGCGGAGTAGTCAGGAAGTCACCCCTGCCGTCCCCACCCATGCCCGCCTGCCCCTCCCCACCCCCACCATTCATTCCGGTAGTTGAGTTCCGCCTTCAATAACAGTCTGGTGAACGTCCAGTGAAGTCACCAGCATGTGACAGTCAGAAGAGTCATTTTTAGATTATGATGGCCACACGTTTGGTGGGACAGCAGCCGAATATTACTGACATTGCCGTTGTCGGCCTGTTGGTAGCAGAAGGATCACTGTCATGAGCTATGTTCAGTGGACTGAGGTGGTTGGGTTTAGGTGCAGTGGTCGCTCCCATCTCCCGGTCTGTGGTACTAAGACCTGTGACCTGGGGGCTTCTGACCGGAGTCGCCGGCGTCTGCCCGAAGGTCAAGCAGACACAGGGACACTTGGGGCCGCAGCTTCTTGCCTGGAGCCGAAGTACAGACACACAGCAGCCACAGGCCAAACACACTCACTGGTTGGAACATCTAAAAGAACATATTGCACCGGTGCCTGTTTGAGTGCAAGCAGAAGCCTGACGTAAAGATGGGTCACATGATTTGGCAGGAATGAGGCAGGAAGTCATCGATGACCACATCCTGTTTCTGGACATACATTTTGCTGTGTATCACAACAAGTTTTAGTCACTCTGGCCTCAGACACACAGGATCTTTATTTCTTAGTTTAACCGCAGAACAGAAACATTACATTTCACAGCATGGCAGTATAAAATGTGGTTTGTTTTAGACAACAACATTTTTTATGGTTAAAACAAACTGGCCGTGGTCTTTCTCTCCTCGAAGTCCCTCTTCCCTATCTGAGCATGCAGCTCAAATGTTTAGCATTGTTATTGCATCGTTCAGCTAATGCTGGTCACTAAATCAGACTACCGCAGGTTTTGCTGTTTTTGCCTCAGGGTCGTCGTCTAGGACTTTTTATTTCTGCGTGCGGTTGTGCCTCTCTATGCTGCGAGCAGCTATGGGAGCAGTTGATGATTTCTGGACTTGGGATAATTTAACACGTACCCACTATTGACCCCCAGATTTTTTTTAGAGTGGCTGCTGGTAACCGGTTCTCATTACATCATTATAGACACTGTCTGAGCCCTGGGAGCCCGGAAATGCACTGAGATGTGAGGAGTAGCTGAAGGTCCATCAGAAAGCTCTTCAGGGGAGAAGAGCGACTTAGCTGATGTTCAGTTTTCCATGAATTTGCCTGAACATTTGGTGTAATTAGCTAGACAGTGAGCCACTGTTCAAGTAGACGCCGAAGGCTTTAGCCCATACGCACGTGGGATTCACGCCGAGCCTGTTTATGACCAATTTGGTACATCGTGTGTTTCACTTCTGTCGTTTAAACGCTGTTGTGGGATCATACATTAAAAGCCAAGGACTGCTATGGCACAGTAGGGCTAGCAGTGAGCGAAATTAGTAGCAGTGACAGAGTAGGGGAAATAGTGAGAGAGCAGGGGACAAAGTAAGAGAATTTAGGCGAGAATGAGAGCATGGGAAGTAGTGAGGAAGTAGAGGAGGTAGTGAGAAAATAAGGGCAATAGTGAGAGTATCGGGGAATAACTGAAACAATTGGGGCATTAGTGAGATTGTAGCAGAAGTAGTGAGAGAGTAGTGGCAGTATAACTATTACTGAGAGAGTAGGGGTTAGTAGACAGAGAGTAGGGGCAGTGGTGAGAGTGTTGGGGCATTAGCAAGAGAGTAGGGGCAGTAGTGAGAGTGTTGGGGCATTAGCGAGAGAGTAGGGGCATTAGTGAGAGAAGGGGAGTTAGAGATAACAGTGCCTGGCCAATCAGATCGAAAGATACAGACATATTACATAACATTGCAGTCATTTTGCTTTCCTATTCGCATTCTCGTCCAATAAAAGTTAAATGGATCATAAAGTTTGTAAAGCGAATGTGTCGTATGAGGCGCACGTCTGGATTTATTTACGACCACTTTTTAACGTAGAGGGCACATTATGGTGGTGTGGAGGTGTGCTTTGTAGTTTGAGATGCCCGTTGTGGGAGTTGTGCTTTTTAACTACTTCATAAAATACAGATGATTGCAGATTATCTATGCTTACAGCAATTTCTATTGATTTATGTTGTAACAGAACAGTGCTTCCTTTTTCTATGCGATGATAAGAGCACAAGTTACCGTTTTCCTTTACGGCAGTGGGAAAGTGCATAGGGATCACAAATCTGTTGATTCAGCTCACTGTGAGTCATGAGTTTTTTTTTTGTTTTGCATTTTTGGCAGGATAGCAGAGCTCTCTTTCAGTGCCCTGCCAAACTAGGGATGCGGGGGAGGCCCATGAACGGTGATCGAGCAGAGTCAATGGGGGAGTCAGAGACGGCGATCGGGCAGAGGGACTGGGGGGAGGGGCATTAGGGATGGGGCTTGAGCACAGTTGGGGGGTGCAGGGATGGTGACTGAGTGAAACTGGATAGGGCAGTGGGGAGACTGAACGACTCTGTGGGCTAATTTAACATTACCGACTTTTTTTTGTGAAATTCCTGTAAAATTCATTATGTGAATGTGTGCTTGGGGGAAGGGGGGGCACTTCGTTGTACCAGGCAGTACTACTAGGAGGAATCTGCTTCTGGATCCAGATCTGTGTAATATCTTATATATGAATATCTTATTCATATATCAGTGGACCAAGCCCTTGTTGAGACCCTGGTCCACATGTGAGTGTTTCTGGGAGATCAGTCTGGCAGGGGAGCAGCCTTGGTGTGACCTGAGCGGATTTCACATTTAATGCAACATGCTACTGGGTAGGCATGCGCATATGGAATGCGCGTAACTGCAGACAGACGGACACATGGTCATATGACACAGCAATCGGGATCAGTTACTATATGAACAATTAGACGGGAGAGGAGTGTAATTGATGCCAAATGTTTCTCGCATGCCTTTGACAACCGCATGTGGTATAACCTGGGTGTTTAGACATGGCTCGAACATCTCTGCATTCTGGTCTAGTCTGCAGCTATCGCTGCATCTGATGCGCTCGTCCGCATGCCTCCAGGGACCTCGTGGTTACCATTTATGTGGTTTTCTCTAGATTAGGGGAAGACATGAGTCCCGCCCCCCTTGGTTTGGTACTGGAATAGCACATGGTTAGTCTGATCTCCAATCCACTACTCTGTATTTATCCAGACATTCATGCAGCTCCAGGTTATCAGTGTCTTAATCATTCTGTCAGCCAGTGGAGGCTTGAATCACATTCAGACTAATCAAAATGACTTGAGGGCCTTTACAAAATGGGCTTTTGTGAGGCTTCTTTCATGGATCTGTCAGATGGGATCAGGATCGGGGCAGGAGCTGTGATAATAAGGACAGGGAGGTACAAGCACAATGAACTGAGGAGGCACAATAAACACAGCATGGACATTATGGGGGAGGGACAGCATGCTGGACATTATGGGGGAGGGACAGCATGCTGAACATTATGGGGGAGGGACAGCATGCTGGATATTATGGGGGAGGGACTTTGTGGTGGACATTTAAATCAAATCAAAGTTTTATTTGTCACATACACAGTTAGACTTGGTACGATGTGCAGTGAAATGCTTAGTTGCCCAACTATTGTGAAAACAAACATAAATATAAAAGAGAAACAACATTAAACACTGATGATTGTCATTAATAACCATAAATAGTGTACATCTGGCAGTAAAGGGACAGGAAGTTGTGCAAAGTATCAAATGAATAAAGAAGTCAGTATTTACATATGTAAACTGTACAATGGGAATACATATAGGAGAACATAACTGACATTACAGTGGACAGTGCAGGGGGAGGGACAGTGTACCGGGCATGCAGGGCGCAGTGAGTGTGTGGCACAGTATGGCTGCGGAAGGCAGACTGGCACAGCTGCTGGGCTTATGGAGTACAAGGTAACTGGGCAGCGTCACCATCAGGCTCCCGTGCCCAGTGTGAGTAACCCTCCCAGCACAATGGTGGGCACTGTGCCCAGCGCATACACCCTGGCACGGCCAGAACAAGCGGGTGTGACGTTTCCTTTGGCACACGGACCGGGGGAGTGGGGTGTACAGGAAGCTGGAAGACCTGGGCCTGGCTTGCTTTAGCTGCCACATCAGTGCGGGGTGCCCTCTGCCTCGGGATGGGGGGGGGGTGGCCAGATATCAGAGGGACCTCAGGAAGTTACATCCCCGAAGATCCGGTGTTGGTTCGATCCGTGAGCCCGTCAAGGTCTGTTGAGCTGATCCTTAACAAAATTGCTCCCATGGGTAGTGGGGTGCAGTGTGGTGTAAAGCAAGCTTCTCAGCTATTATTTGGGGGGGGGGTAATGTTTATCATCTCTATGAACATCAGAGGTGGGAAGCATGGCCTGTCTTTATGGTATACTGCCCTGGCTGTTAAAATCATCTCAATACTGCTCACTGTATAAAGTCATCACCTCCATGAAATCAGCACTGTTTCCAGCCATCTGGTAATTGGGTGGTTTATTTTTACATCTCTCCCAGACGCTCCAAGAGTTTGTTTCATCTTGCTGATGAATTGGAGACAAAGTAAAGGGGGAATTAATTCTGCAATTCCCCCTCCCAACCAAACAGGCATTTCTCCAAGGCTCCTTGTATAATGGAGGCTAATTAAAAATAGGCAGCATAAATATCATGCCCAGTTCTATTTAAAGGATCAAGGTGGAGTTTTTTTATTATTATTTTTTGGTTCCTAATGAGCAGTTGTTCCTTAGGGAGCGTGCTGAGGGGGGGGGGGCAGCATTCCCAGCCACACAAGGACCTCATTGTGAGGCGGCGGTGGCTGCTCACCGGGGATCGGGGTCGGGCACCCGGACCAGCGCCAGGCCTGGAGCAGGACGTGGAGAGGTCCAGTGGAACACGGGTGTGGCACCAGCAACAAGCTAAGAAAGAGGGTATTTCCCTCTTTCTCTGCCCATGAAACTACACAAAAAAAAGCCCTTGGACAACTAAATGGCAGTTCTGCACACAGAGCCTTAGAGTCACCATTGGAAGAAACCAGTCTTTGTATTATCATGTGCTATCAATCACTGACACATTCTCTCCTTATTGGTCGACCCTGCTGGTTCACCATTCGCTCAAGCCTAGTCTGACACCGCGGACTCGCGTAAGTCCCACCCACCAGGGTTCCATAGCGCTCTCTGACGCGGGGCCCCATCCAGCTACAGCTCCCCTGGGTTTACTGAAGCGTGCCAGGAGTTGGCCCTCGGCCCCCGTGCTGTGAATAAACGTGGAAGCCAAGGGAGACGGAATTAACGAGGCTCACGTTCCATTAAGTCACGGCCTTGGGGGAAAAAGTCAGTCAGAATGGCCGGCAGGGAGCTCTGAAGCTACGCCGTTTTTCCTGGCTCTCTATTTATTCTTTCTATCCTTTTCCTAGAAGATGAAATGACCTGAGATTCAGCAATTTGTGCTACTGCCGAGGCCACCTGAGGTCCCATTGTGATTCTTGGGGATGCTGTGGAGATAAAGGCTTTGTTGGGAACTAACAGCCTCGAGCTCAGCCCTCTGCATCTGACCGTGTGGAATAACCCAGGAACTTCCAGCAATTTACCTGAGCAAACTGGCTTATCCTAAATCCCTGGGGAGGGGGTGTGCAAGGTTCGGCCTGTAGTGGCTTGAGGAGAGAGACTCATCCTCTGAGGGACGGTACCATCGCTAACACACAGGGGATACTAGAATCACAGAAGGGCCGGCCGGTGTCCAGCTGGTCTCGCATGGCTGAGGAGGGGGAAGTCACGCAGTCTGGGATGTTCCACATGGCTGTCAGATAGGGGGAGGGGGCAGCCCATGTCAGTCTATAATTGCAGTTATAAATTGTGCAATACTTCTCCATTACATGCATTCCTCCCGTCACGGCTGTCGGAGGGCCCCATGCCAGGAGAGCATCATGGGAAGAGAGGGTGCTGGTCTGGGACTGCCTCGACTCCCCCGCTGAATCTGTCCAAGTCCTTTCCCCAATCCACTCCCTGTCAGCTTCGAGACAATGGAAAACAAGAAGAAATCAGTAGTCTGTAGTTATTTCTCTAGTGGGAGGCTGGTTTGAGGTTCCAGTTTACCTGCATCCTCCTACAGGTGGCCTCCGAGCTCCCAGACCCCCAGTAGCAGAGCTGAGAGGTTGGAACTTCATGGCCCATTGGGGAATCCCAACGACTCGAGACCTGGACCTTTCTCGCACATGAAGTTCTTCTACTTCCTTCTGTATAGGCCTCCCAGCTGGAGCTGGTGTGGTAGGGGTCCACGGGCTCGCTCTTGCTGGCCTTTTGAGGTCTCTCTTCCAGAGCTGAGAATCAGGAGAGCTCCACTATGTCGCCTTGCCTGGTGTGATGGTCACAATGTGGCCGCAATCCGGCCATCTGGCCGGTGGCCTCTATGAATTTGACTAATTCAAGGAGCCAGAGAAAACGGGGGTAAGTGTAAACGAAGGAAGGCATATGGGAGACTTCTCTGCTCAGAATGGTTGGGTGTGGAGGGTGGAAGGCCGCGCAATGCCGGCCTGCTCTGTGCCAAGCCTTGTGCAATGGTGTCTGGGATCTTTGGCGGTGGCTTCGATGGACACAGATGGTGGAAAGCGTGAGAGCCTCAGCGTTCTCACCCTGTGAGGGGTCAGGCCAGCTCCAGTCTCTCTGTCTCACGCTGTACTCAGATGGAGAGGCTGTGACGGCTATGGGAGCGACGTAACCATGGTCAGCCTCACACTGATCTGCACACCTGCTCCAGAGCCTTGGTTTTCTCCCTTAGTGTTTCTTTTGTTCATCCATCCAACTGCTTATCCAGTACAAGAGCATAGGGGGGTTTCTTTCCGGTTCAGCTTTTCTTCCTCAGGGGGGTATTTGTCTTTCAGTGAGTCTTGGGGTGGGTCTGTGTGTAGAGCCTGCAAGGGGCACAGAGATTGGGGAATCTGGACCCTTGGCCAAAAGTACTGGATATTAGACCAAAAAGAATTACCCTGATACTGTATCAATGAGTCACTTCAATAACTTCAAAAATAAGTTATGTATATCAAGTCATAAAGTCCACTGTAAAGGATAAGGTGTAATTTTTTTTGTGGAAGTTTGCCGTGTAAGGTGGTGGTGGAGATTGCTGTGTGTTTAGAGTGTGTTAATGACTGTCTCTGTCTTTGGTGCCTATATGTGGTACAGAATCAGAGCCTGGCTGCACGTCCTGCTGGTGTCTGTCAGCCAATACCGACTTTTACGTCTTTGGGTTTTCTTAGAGTGTGGTATGCTTGTGATCCATGACCTCTGACCCCTCTCTCCCCCTCAACAGATCGAGGAGGGTGGAAAGGCAGCACAGTGCAGGAAGCTGCGTGTGGGGGACGAGCTGGTGAACATCTGCGGTTCCGAGCTCTACGGTTCACGCCAGGAGGCATTGGTGCTCATCAAGGGCTCCTACAGGACCCTGAGGATGGTTGTGCGCAGGTAAGGGTGTGGCCTACATGCCACTGTGTCTCTAAGCCTCTCCCCCACCTTCCTGTTCCTCTTCTGTGTCGCTTACCTTTCACAGCGTAATCTGCCAATGTGGACCGCAAGGAAATCATGGACAGTCGCGGCAGGAGGAAGCGAATTTAATGGTGCAAGCAAGTTCTAAGTCTGTCGTGTTAAATTAAGTAGAGCAAAAGCTTTAGCTTGTAGTACAAGGGGTAGGTAAAGGTACTGAACCATGCAGTGAGGTCATCACTGTACACCCGTTTTTTTTCTGTGGACCACGGGCTAGGCACCTGAACATAAGAACGTCAAAGGAAAAGGAACTGCTCCTTAGCCCCCGAATTGCACCCCCCAACCCCCGACCCTGCATGCTGTGGGAGTGGAGGGGTTTGCTTCGCTGGATGTGTTTACTCTGGCCGAGCTGCAGTGTGGCTGACGTCAGTGTGGCCGGCCGCCGGTACATGGGGTAACCTTTACCCTCTGACACACCCCGACAGTTCCTGAGATCGTCTGGAATGTTTGCCTTTTTCCGTGCTGCCCTGACTCACGGCGGGTTTTGGGGAGGGGGGGAGGCAGATGGCAGCTTCCAGTTCCCACAGTGTCGCACTGTATTGAAGGAGGCTCATGGATTCCTCCGTGTAACACTGCCCCACGGTGGTGTATGGCGGAACAACAACCCAGCCTGACAGAGATGGTAGCTCTTGTCAGCATAACAACTTCACAGTTGAATCATGTCACAGTCCGTGGTCAGATTGCAAGGCCTGATAAGGAACAGGACAGCAGTAGGAGATCTGTTATATAATTACATCTCTCAATGTCTTTGTTGACATACAAAGTGACCTGCATAGTTTGCAGTTTAATTTGGAATTTATCAGTTAGGCAGGTGAACATGCATGCTAAGTAGCTTTCTGAAAGTCCACAGCAGCACACCTTTCTGAGACTTTAAAACAACCCTATTGGTCACATGATATCCAGTCGCATACCTGCTATGTCACCTGGGCCTCCGAATTAAAGAGGCTCCAACAAGCCAGAGTTCCTGAGGGTCACTTTGAGAGGGTGCTGGACCATCAGGCTGAGTTAAGGAACTAGACTGGTCTTCCTCCACAGCTGTGCTTCCTAACCCTAATGGGCCTGGAGTCTCACAGGAAAGCCATGTGCAGCTTGGTGGACCTTTCCGGAATACCTATGTAAAAAGCCTAATTTCATAACTTCAGCTGCATTTAGGTAAATGGTGTTGCTTGTCTTGGTGGTGGGGGGGAGACTGAGTGAGGGGGGGTTGTTATCTGATCTCAAGCAGCTTGATTGTGTTTCCTTTGGCTGCATTCTTGGGTTGTGTGTGTCAGACCTTTTCCGCACTGCTAGCAAACATCCCTTTGTTTTCCGGAAAGGTGTTTATACAGACAGCGCGTGGCCCATTTGGTCATTTCAGAAAACCTGCAGCTATGCGACTTCTGGGAAGTTATTTGTTAATGTTTGTATTTATTTAACCAGCTGGGCCACTAGAGAACCTGCTCGTGTTTACAGTGAAGATTGCAGCTCAATGTCAATATGTAATTATTCTGTTTACCTAGTTGTAATTGTGCATTTTCAAACATTTTTTGACAGATGAAAAGTAATGACGAGGGTACCCATGGATAGTTAAAGACCTAAAATATCTTTAAGCCTGAAAATGTGATGCTTTTAACAATTATTGCAGAAAAATCAGCATAAACAGAGGTGTATTGTATTGTTGTCTTATTGGATAATTAAATCTCCTTTGATTTGAGTTTAATCTAAGGTGAAGAAAGTAGCTGGCCTCAGGCACTTTATTAGGTACACCTTACTAGTACTGGGTATAACCTGCTTTTTCCTCCAGAACCTCTGTAAGTTTGGTAAATTGTAACTCTCAGTTAAGCCTTTCTGCACACCATTGTTGTAGGAGCTGTTATTTTTGCACTAATGCCCTTCCTGTTAGCCTTAACGAGTCTGGCCATTCCCCTCTGACCTTTCTCATTAACAGTTAATTAAGTGTTTTGACTGGATGTTTCTTGTTCATTATACCTTTCACCGTAAAGTCTAGACACTGCACTGCGTGAACAATCTCTGCGGGGCGCCTGCTTCTGAGATGCCGTAACTAACACTTCTGGCAGCAATAATCACACAACTTTCAGAATCACTTTGATCACACCTCTTACCCATTCTAATGCTTGGCCAAACAGTAACTGAACCTCCTGACCCTGCATCTGTGCATCTACTCAGCGGCAGTGACACAATTCGCCGGTCAGAGGAGCAGGCTGCTTGCATTAGCAAGCAGATGTACCTAATAAACTGGCCCCTGAGTGTATTTTCTCATGGATATCAGATGGGCTTCTTCTCAACTGATCCTGGGTCCCTATGCACCCCCCAGCACCAACCCGGGGTCAGACGTAGGTGACGTTACCCTGCTGTGGGTGCGTTTGGCTAAGGGACCGGCTGCTTGTTAGGTCGCGTGTCACACGTGGGCCACACCAGCGCCGGCACGTGACCGGATCAAGGGCCATAAATTAAGCACTGAGGTGATTAGAGCACACCGTTTTAAGGGCACTGGGGCAGTACTGAGCTTCGGGACGGGGCAGACCCCAGGGTGTCCTGGTGGGGCCAGTGATTAGGGAAAAAAAGGCCCAAACCAGCCATTCAACATTCCTCCGTAAATCCAGGCCCCCCTCTGATGGCTCCTGTATTCATCTCAGGAATTTCTGTAACGGCTCTCAATGGTACCAGTTCCCATTTTTGGTGGCATCTGTTTAGCCCCCTATTTCCTTGGAGCAGCCAGTACGTGTGGGTCAGGTGCTGTTGGAGTTCCTGTAGCCCCTGCTACACCTGCTGCCACATACAATCCAGCCACCTCAGTCCTACCTGCATCCTGTTACAGGTGGGGTGGGACAGGAGGATGCTTCAGGAATGTGGAGGGGGTCCTGCCTTCCCGCTGCACCCTGGGTCACGTGCTTTGGGGAATTATTCAATTCAGCTACCAAAAACAACGCAGAACAAACAAGCGGGGCATTGTGTGGGTTGGCCGTGGTGGGCGGCACCCTTCCTGCAGGGGCTGTTATAACGACCCTGTCTCCCTGCTCTGATTAGCTGGAATGCGGCTGTGCTCTGAAAGCGGGTGCCCAGAAAAAATAAATATTGCCGGGGGGGTGCTTTTCCCTCTTCCATCCACTGGGGGAATGCCCCCACCGCAATTTGTCTCCCACTGCCTCCCCCCCCGGGCCGCATCCCGGGAGACGAGCTCATTAGCCTCTGTTTCTCCTGTTTGTTTTCTTTCGTAATGGAGGGGGGTTTGTTTCTCTCCCCTCTGAACCCGGCAGTTTCTGCAGGCATGCCTTTGCTGCTCTGCAGCTGGCCTTCGCATGTTGCTCCTCTGCGCTTTAACGGGTCGGGCCAGAACCCTATGAATCAGTCTAAAGGGACATGGTTTGACCCAGGACGCTGCTAATGCGGAGTGTGACCTACTACTTCAGGCAACCCAGCTGAAATGGTTTTGACCCCTTGTCCCCAACTGCCTTACAGCAGGTCTTTGTTGGACCCCCCCCCCCATTTCCACAGCTGTGATTCAGAAGAGGTTGAGGGGGGGCAAAGAATTACTGTTCAAAGAACCTACTGTTCACCTCAGCCCTGCTAGCTCTGTTTAAATTATGATACATACACTATGATTCTAAAACATATCCCATGATGCACTGTGATTACACTTTCTCATACAGCATGGCCTATCAGTGGCAGGTTCATTGTGTTGTGGTGTGGAAGATGCTGAGGTATCAGACTTGGCTTATCTAGCTTCTCTGCTTGGGATGTCCTAAACCCAGACACCATCTGACCTAGACAGAACAGCCTCAGAGTTCAGACCAAGTATGAACTGTCCTTCGCTTAAACATCAGGCAACCTCTCTGTCCCTGGAACATCAGCCACCTTCACACTTCATCTTGATCTGTCCATCTCATAATATTAAGGCATTAAGTCCAAAGAGTAGGTCAATTCAGGCCCCTACAATCACACCCAGATTGGTGTTTTGATATCAGCAGAGAGAAAACTGCAAGTAAAGGTAAATCATATGGCGAAGAGCTAGCAGAGGCCTCTGTGCTCCCAACTGACACCCCTGTCCAATCAAATGGCTTCCATAGGAAAAGGAAAAGAGCCCCCACATTCCTGCTGTCTCCAACAACAATGAAGTGAGCCCAGCATATCGCGGAGTGCCACTGGCTGACCTTTATCTCCGCCCAGCATTGCTTCCTCCCCGTCTGAGGCGGGCTTCCTTCCTTCAGCGTCACCGAGAGGGGGACCGCCAGGACCGCGGGAGTATGAGAACACAGTGGTCCGAGCTCACTCCTGCCCAGAACGGTCAGACTGGTGACAGTGAACCATCGATCTCAGACTCTCTCGAAGTTCTGCTCCAGTCTCTCTCTCGGGTCACAGGCAGGCACTGAAAAGACTAGCAGCAAGGGAGAAGAAGCTTTTTTCTGTGATGTTAATGAGACTAGAAAAGCAACTCGGTCACATGGGTTAGTGTCTGACGGCTACTCAGGCAGCGGACACCTGGGAATTCCCGTGTCACATGGGAAACACCGGGATTTATACGTGTCAACCTGCTCGTTGTGGCACATTCCAGCAAGACTGCGTTGTGGACCAGAGAGAGCGACAGATTCCCCCGAATTAAGTAGGGGAGGGTGAAAGATTCCGTTCGTGGAGTCAGAAGAGACACTGCTATCTATACGTGGATCTGAAAGGGGGACGCCTTCGTAAGACAGACCTGGAGAGCGGCCGTTTTGTCCCTGGTCTCGCTCACCGTTTCGTGGCTGTGTGAATCCTTAGGGTGCTGAGTAAGTTCTGGACTGGAGACTTATAGAAGGAGAACGGGCTGGACAGGATGGGTTTATGGGTGGGCAGGATACAGGTGTTTGTGCTGGAGAACACTTGATGGGGGGGAGGAGGAGGAATAATGCAGATTAATTAAACTTGCCTGTTGGACAAGTTTACTGTCACCTTCAGTAAAAAGGTTACTCAATAATCTGTAATTGTTCGGTACTCAATTTGGGAAAATGCAAGATGTAGAACTGATGTTTAGAAATTATACTTGCTACAGAAATAGCTTGAGGTCCTCCAGGCAGAACTATTCGATGTCTGTGGTAAACGGCTACGTAACCATATTGGCAGGTCTCAGTTTTTCTGGTGGTTTTAGCCAGTGATTCTGCTGAAAGAGTGATTGAAGACTGTGTCTTTTTGGGGGGGGGTTCTGCTGGTTCACAGCTCATGACCAATCCATAGACCCCCCCAAACTGTGAGGTGGCCGTGGATAGATACTGATGGTCAGGTGGGCTATCAGCTTCAAGGAAAACAGTCATTTCTTCCCCAACTCGATGTGTTTACACAGTGATAGTTACTTATTGCACACGCAGGTATCTGTATTTGTTCCAGTGTCACACACCTTCTTCTCTGTTTCACCTGCAGGTTTCTAGAATCTTCAACTAAATGTTAGTGACCTGTTTCTGCCTGCAGTTTGTTTGCTGAAATGTCTGCCAGTCCCCTACAGTGATCTTTAACATTCCCTGTTAGATACCAGCTCATGACAGCTACCTTTTGTGCCCCACCTGACAGACGGAACGTACCGGTTATCAGACCCCACTCCTGGCACCTGGCCAAGCTGTTGGAGCCCCCCGGTATCGGCCCAGACCCCCCCTCTGCCATGCAGCTACACTCCATGCCCTTCAGCGCACCGTGGCATTCTGGTGGTGACAACAGGTGAGAGGACAACCATTCCTTAACGTTTTGTTTATTCACATGGGCTTTATATATATATATGATTATCTATCCATTTTCAGCAACTACTTATCCAGTTATGTTTGTAGGCTTTTCAGAGGTTTAGGCGCTCTGCCACACACACACACACACCGTCAGTCACTCGCAGAGTTTCCACCATTAGCAAGAATGATTTTCAAAGTGGAAAGTAATCACGATACCCAGGGGAAACCCACTCAAATTCAGCAAGACCCCATAGTACTCAAAAACCGCTAATGCGATTTGCCGTAATGGTTAATAAAGATAAATAAAAATAAAATGCTTAATATAATGCAGTTATTAAACAGATGCCTGAAGTGGGTCTCCGTCGTGTTGGGAATTTCTGCCATTGACAGCTTTCCAAAGAAAAACAATCAGGAGGAAGTCGATGATCTCACCTCCAAAGTCAACATACGCCACACAGGATGCTACCGTTATTTTTAGGGCTTATTTCAGGCGTCTTTTTTGGTCTGACCAGTGGGAGTGCCTGGGGAAAACCTGCGTGTTTAAACTAAAAAGAGCATGTACTCTTTCTATAAACTGCAGGAGTCGTGGACAACCCGCCTGAGGGTTCAGTAAATTTGCCTGGGGCTGTTATGAAGCCATTCTTTCTCTATACAAATGTCTCATTGGTATTTGCGGAAGAATGTACTTTCCTGCAGTTGTTTTTAAAAAGCGCTCCCGAAATGACAGCATTCACAATTACATGCCGCTGTTGTCTATAAATACATTGAATATGCTGCTGTCGTTGTACCTCGGCACACGAACAGAAAACGAACTTACTTATTTCAGTGCGTGTTCCTCATAACGAGAGCCTGATTTCATCGGCATAATTTCCCTCTATTACTTTAAATTACCTTTAACTGGCTGGAATAATAGACTATTTACACAAAACTGAGCTCGTTTCATACCGAGATCCCCGAGACTACTGGCTTTGGTACCTTCTCTGGTGTTTTATCTGGCCCGAGGCTGTTATGTCCCGACTGGACTTCAGATTTAACATTCATACACATATCGCTGCCGTGGGTTCAAATGCGTCACACGACCGACTGCATCAATACATTTATTGTAAAAACCGTGTTTCGGTCCATACATAACTAATACTATAATGTGTTGTTTCTGGAACGAAGCAAAATATGGGCATCTTGCATTTGGATGTAACCACACCTTTAACGGACATTTCCGTGGCGTAAACACAGCTGTTGGTTCATGCTAATGCTAACATTACACCAATATGATGACGTGACAATAACATGGATAATTTTTCTTGTATTAATCTGTATGTATTTAATAAACCGCTAGAGCCTTTCCTCATTCAAACGTTAAAAATGACGTGTATAATAAATGATTTGCATGATAAACTCGTTTATTAAAATGACGCGTACAGTGAAGTTTTTACTCCTTTAGATTACTATGACCATCGCTGCATGCACATCCTGTGGTACTGGGGAGGATGAGATAAATGGGACAAGCTGTGTTGTTTTGATATTGACGTGAGGGTATGCTGACCACATGACCCTGATGCTGTTACAGTGACCCGTCGATGCAGTGGAATCAGCTGTCGGGACACTGCAGCACTGATCACAGTGGCTCTCTGGGCAGTATGGAGAGTCTGGACCTACCCAGTCAAGGCTATTATGAGAACCAGCTCTCTCCAGTGGACCCAGCCATCTTCAACAACAAGCGGGACTCCGCCTACAGCTCTTTCTCAGCCAGCTCCAACACCTCGGACTGCACAGTGTCACTGCGGCACGGCGAGGCCGGCTCCACTGACAACCTGCTCCAGGGGCTGGGCCGCAATGGCGAGAGTCGCCCTCTGCTGGTGGGCAGCATGCTGAACGAGCAGCCTGGCTGCCTTTCCCAAACGCAGGAAACCAAGCCAGCGTCCGTCGGCTGCGAGGAGGAACAGGGTGGCACAGGAGCAGCGCGGGGGTGCCCACAGCCCCCCATGCGCAGGGACAGCTTCCGGGCTACCAGGGGGCATGTGGAAGCCCTAGACAAGCCCTCTGCCAATCATTCAAATTCACCTGAATGTCACACTGAAGATCCACCCGCTGACCGGGACCTGAGTCCAAGGAGTTACCAGTGTGACTCGGGTGGCAATGACGGGTGCGAGGGCGTTGGCCTGGAGCAGTACTATACCCTCAGCTACAGGGACAGCAGCCCAGCTACATGTCTGTCCGCCCCTGAGGCAGGCTCGCTGACCCCCAGTCCCACGCCACCAGATGGTCAAAGCAGGGGGGGTTTTCAGACCTCCCTGAGGCAGCATCTGACTGGAGGGCACAGGCACAGCGCCCCCGAAAAGCTCCTGTCTGATCAGTTGCAGCAGCTGGAACTCTCCAGAAGGCTGTCCCGTCGCACTCCCTCACCCGGCCGCCAATGTCCTGGGTCTCCTGCAAAGGAGCAGCCAGATGTTCTCGAAAGCGGCCTCCAGGCCTCAAGGAGGTTGGATGGAAGCAGGAGCTCCACACCTGCATTGGGGCAGGAACCGGAACCTTCCGGAGAGCGTGTCCCGTGCACATGGGGCCGCTCCCTCAGCGTGCCTGCAGGGACAACTGACGAAAGAGAGGGAAAACCCGAGGAAGCCTCCTCGCCGGTGGAAGTGCAGGCCGAGGAGTATAAAGGCGCCGAACCGCAGCCCAAGCCTGGCTCGTCCCGACAACGCCGTTTGGCAAGGTCGCGGCGTCGCAACGAACGCTTCGCCACCAATCTGCGCAACGAGATCCAGCGCAAGAAGGCCCAGCTGCAGAAGAGTCGGGGGCCCGGTACACCTCTTTATGGGGACGAGACTGTGGAGGAGGAGGAGAGTGGGGTCGAGTTACAGGAGTCAGAGGCTGCCTGCCCACTGTCTGCCCCCAGTGCGCCAGCCCTACATGATAGACTGTCTGCCCCTCAACCATGCCCCCCATCTCCATCCACCAAGACCAGGTGTCCTCCGCCAGTGGCCCAGCGACCTCAAATGATCAGGCCTGCTTGTGCCCAAGTGGCGGATGAGCCTGGCTCGGCAGGGAAGGTGCGGCGTTGGCGCTGGACGCCGGAGCATAAACTGCAGCCCGAGGCAGCGCCTGAGCAGCAGAGTGACACGGGGGCACGGCCGAGCAGGGGCAGGACCACCTCCTCGCGCTCCTCCAGAACTGACGAGTGTGACATCCTCCCGTTCGCTGACAGGATGAGGTTCTTCGAGCAAACAAGCCGGAGCGTCTCGATGTCCAGCCTACCGGGCTCCCAGGCACAGAATCAGCGACACCACAGCTTGACCCGAATGACCCCGCCGTGGAACACCTTGGTGACCAATCAGAGGCGGTATTCCTACCAGGGCTGTGCCCAGCGCCCTGCTGAGGGTCATGGGCAGCGTGTGAGTGAGCGAGAGGAAGTCCGCCCCCCACCGGGAACCAAGAAAGACACTAGGCCCCAAAACCATGCCCAGAGTTATCCTCAACCACCCACAGAGCACCCAGAGTCCAGACACCCCCGGTCTGCCTTCCGCCCGGTGACCGCCCTGGGGTGTCAGGGCCGCCAGCCTTTGCACCCTGGGTACAGATCCATGCCAACAGAGGTGAGCAAGTAGACAGATCACATGACCATTCACACATAATGCTCCCTTTTCCGGTTCCTAAGTTCAGCCAGCTGGGTATTAATTTGCATAACGTAACCCTGCAGTGCACGGCAAAACGTCATGTTGGGCCCCTTAGGTAAAATTTTGGACCACCAAAGGTAGATTTTGGGGCCCCCTGAATCTGCCAAGGTATCCATGCCCCTTTGATGCCCCAGGTACACAGTCAAGGCCCTTGCTACCCGTCCCACCTCATGGCTGGTCATTTTATCGCCTGTCTTAAAGTCCAGCTGGTGTTTGATTCCAAATATGAACGTGTAATTTGCAGAGCAACGTATGACCCACCTTAAGGCTGGGTCGAGAACACATGCCCTGTCGTCAGACACAGAGGAGTTCTCCAGGTGGGGATATGGGGGCCAATTCTGCCCACATTACATAGAGCAGTGTTTCCCAACCCGGTCCTCAGTCACCCGGTCCCCCCATGTGGACTGTCTGGCAGGGAGCTCGGATCGAGCAAAAGCGTGGACTGTCTAGGAGTCTCCGAGGACCGGTTTGGGAAACATTGACATACAGAATTATATATACTGCTCTGCACAGTAGCCTGACCCCCCAAGCCCCCACTGGGAGTGCTTAAAACAGAGTCCTCATCTGACTGCACACACTTTCTATTAAGGTAATTGACTCAGGTTACTGTAACATGGTGATTATGACGCTGTTGATTTCTTGTTGCATTTAATCAAAATGCACTACAAAAGATGGGAACAGAGTTCTGCGGAAAATCTAAAATAAATCTGGAGTTCACAATGACCACCATTGCTGTTTCAGGTGCAAATTCTTTTAGGTCTACATTCATTTGTGGTATTTTTACAGTCGTTTGGGGTTAAGCCATATACCCCCCCCCCCCGGGTGAGGGAGCGCGAATGGCATGGTGAAAATCCTGACCTGTATTTTATAACCGCCCCATAATCCCACTCTCATTTTGCATTACCAGATGTGCGAGTGTATTAAACTGGTTTGACTGGAAGCCCCGCAAGGCGAGAGGATTGCCAGTGTGGGGAATATAAAATAGATCACGAACCAGGACTTAGAAAGGATGCAGGATATGCGTAGCTGTAATTCTGCGACAATGCACATGCGTATTTGAGTCAGTGGGGAGCAGAAATGAGTTTGTGTTGACTGTTGCTCAGTCACAGAGCCACCCCAAGGTCAGATGGCACAGGACAGTGTCCTTCATCTCGGATCTGAGCCCCCACATGTCCGTGGGTAAAAAGCTGGTTAATCTCTTCTCCAGGCACATCCCTTGAAGAAGAAGGAACAAACCAACCTGAGCCGGAACTACAGTCTAACAGAAAGGTCAGGCGCATCGCCTAGCAACGGCAATCATTTATTTCCTTTGATTGGGACTGACTGACCCTACTTCCTTAAAAAAGAAGTGCACTGCTTTAAATAAAAGTGTCTAATATTTAATGTGAAAAGTCCTTCCTTTATATAAACAGAATTCTTTATCCTGTCCCTCCTGCTGAGATCTGTCATCTTGTTTTTTGCAGAGACAACCCTCGCTACAAAAGAGACATCCAGCCAGCAGATGGCGCTGGACATCTGGGCTATGAGAGTCGCTGGGGTGACTCCAAAGTCACTGCAGGGGAGCAGTGCTTGCAGCAAGGCCGTGCCCTGTCGGAGAATGACGTAAGGCTGGGTGTGTGGCGGCCACGTGCACCCACGGGGGAGTTTGCGGGGCCCGTGCTGAGTGAGCTGGAGGAGAGCAGCCCAGGATGCAGGAAGAAGAGGCTTCCTCCTCCCAGGCCACCGCCGCCCAACTGGGCAGAGTTCCACCGCCGGCGGGCGTCCCAACAAAACCTCTTCACGACCCCGTCGCCTCCCCCACCCCGGGACGCCCCTGGCCCCCAGTGCTCAGGCCCCCCTCGCAGAGAGAGCCCCCTACAGTCTGACCTTGATGTGACCCGGCAGCGCTCCCACAGCCTGCCCCTGGGAGTGGAGACTGGGCAGTGCCAACGATGTTCCCAGGAACACTTGGCCCCCGTGTGTGGCCCCACCTTCCCACATGGGGCCTTTCGGCCAGTGGCTCCGCCGCCGAAGGAACCCGAACTGCCAATCCAACACCCAGACCCACCCAGGCTGACCAACAGGCTCCGCCCATTGGCAGAGCCCTGTCAAAGGTAAATACGCTCCTCTCTTCTGCAGTCTCTCTGGGCAGCTGCCCTTGCCTTGATTCAGTATTCAGAATGTGGCAGCAGTAGGATTAGAGCCTTAATCCAGCTCTATAGACCACCTGGTTACACTACCTTGACTTGTTTGCTTTTTCACCATTACTTCAGGAAATGACACTCATTGCCATGATTCAGCATGGTAGACCGTCGCATATATAAATGGCTGATAGTTAACCTGGTGCTACTGCCCCATTGCAGGTCATGTGACTCAGGGACTGCAGGCCTTGCTGGTGGAGACCGGCCTACCCTCCTGAAACCTGTCTCCATGGCGCAGCGTTGCACAGCGGAGTGGGACAGGAGGCCCCCGCAGGGTGGTCATTGTGGGCCTTGGGACCCCGTGACAGGTAACACCCCCCACCATATGACATCACCATACGAGGCCAGAACCTCCACAAATGCCACGACGTGGCACCAGGGGGAGCCGTGCAGCCTGCTGTCCACCAAGGAGACCGAACTCAGCCCTGCATGCCCAGAGGATAGCCAGCCGTTCGAGACGGACATCGACGAGTTCCAGGACAGCTGCGGCGAAGACGAGGCTACGTTAGAGACGGAGGTGCAGGGTTTCGCTCAGCCAGCCATGGTCCTGGAGACGGACATAGACGTGCTGTCAGAGACAGAGCCCCGCCCACCCCCCTCTATTCCCAGACACCCATGCTGTCCGACAGAAGCCCTGTCGGCCGCCGACACCGAGTTTGGGAATCGTGCTGACCTCCTGGCAGAGCTGCTGCCCCCTGCTGGACAGGAAGAGCAGAGGGCAGAGATGTGGAGAGGTTGCCACCGCGTTAGCTTGGACAGCCTGGAAAGGTGGGTAGCTGTTTCCACAGCTCCGTGGGGCTTGAACAGCATAGTGACGTAAACACTCCTTCTCCCGGTTGCTGGAGATGGGACAAAGTCATGCCTTTGAAATAAGACACGGAAGCCTTTGCTGCTCCGGAGCCTCACTTGTCCTCCTCTGCCCAGCACAGGCGGTCCAGACAGGGGCCACCTGGACCTCAGATCTCGGGCCCCGGGCATACCCACTGCTGCCCCGCAACCTGCAGTGCTAAGGAGCTGTCAGGGGGAGGCGACGAGGAGGACGACCAGGAGCTCTCCTATAAGGTAACACAACTCCCTGCTCCCAGGGAAAAACATGGGACCAAAATCGTGCACCTAACTGTAGGCTTCGGAGTGTTAAAAATTATTTTGAGTAGTACAGATTAATGGTGGCTTACTGCCTGTCTTGCTTGTTTGAATATATATTCCCTTGAGATCCAGGGGGGAAAAACATTTTTTTATTAATATTATTTTTACATAAATTAAGTGTTGGGATGGTAAAAACCACACCCCCACACATGTCTGATGTCATCTTAAAGCCTTAACTGTCATTCTGGAACAAGAGGACTTAATCAAGTGGCACGTATAGTATGAGATCTATGAGCAAAGACATAAAGTTTATGACAGAGGACAGAAATGAACGGGTGTGTCTAAGGAGCATATCTGTTATGTCATATCCTGTGGACGCTCTGTAAGTGTGATAGTAATATTACTACAAGGTGTTGGTTGATGTGAGGGGCAGGTTATGTTAGTGACTGGGCGCTCAGGGTTGTGCCCTCACCCTCCATCACAGAAGCAGCTGATGGAGAGCTTGAGGAGGAAGCTGGGGGTACTGAGGGAGGCGCAGCGGGGCCTGCAGGAGGAGGTGCGTGCCAACGCGCGGCTCGGCGAGGGGGTGGAGGCGCTGGTGCTCGCTGTGTGCAGGCCGGGTGAAGTGGACAAGTTCCGCATGCTGGTTGGGGACCTGGACAAGGTGGTGAGCTTGCTGCTGTCGCTGTCGGGTCGGCTGCTGCGCGTGGAGAGCACACTGGAGGCCCTCGGGCCGGACGCAGGCCACCACGAGAAGGTGGGTAGGGGCTGTGGGCTAGGGGTCACTGAGGGTGCTGGGGGAAAGGGGAGCCTAGGAAAGGCCTTTGCATTTATTAGATGCAAGCAGCACGTTAGTAACTATCAAGACTGTGGATTTTCATAAACTGAGATGTGTGTCTGGCCCTGGGGGATTGAAGTTCCTGACCTGTATAGATTGCGAACTGGGACATTGTGCCCATGAGCTGGAGGTGGTTGTAGTGAAGCCAAATGAAGTTTCATGCATCATTTGTTGCATTTTTTTGTCCCCACTTAGATGGCGCTATTGGTTTGCTCTTGGGGCATGTTTTGAGCCCTTTTTTGAACAGAGCGCGTCATCTAGCGAGATCAGAAAATACAGCAAGTGGTTCATGAAGCTTTGTTTGGCCATCACTAGGTTATTGGTTTGAATCCTATTTCATCACTGAGTCCTTGAGCAAGACCTTTAACCCCAGTTGCTCCAGGAACTGGCTGACTCTACTCATCACTGTGCACAAAAGCATCTGCTAAATCAATATAATTTAATACTTGGATTTCCTGATTGATTAAGATTGTCTTTCTCTTTTTTATACTTTATTTTACAAGGCTGGGGTCATTTATGACCACAGTTCCTATAGTTATTCTTATTTAGCTGTATTCTACCTGGCACATCATGTTACAACTCCCACCAGTAACCATTTACATCTGCTCTGCAGCTCCCCCTGCAGGAGAAGAAGCAGCAGCTGCTGAGTCAGCTGGGCGAGGCGCGCGAGCTGAAGGAGCACGTGGACCGGCGGGAGCAGGCGGTGTGCCTGGTGCTGAGCCGCTGCCTCACGGCCGAGCAGCTCCGCGACTACAGCCACTTCGTCAAGATGAAGGCTGCCCTGCTGGTGGAGCAGCGGCAGTTGGAGGACAAGATCCGATTGGGCGAGGAGCAGCTGCGCGGGCTGAAGGAGAGCCTGGGGCTGGGCCTCGGGCTGCCCCTGGACCTGGGCTCTGGCTACTACTGACTGCCTGGCTACAGTGACCATTTTCCCCTGGGCCTGGGATCAAGGTGTCTGCTAACTACAGGGCTACTTACGAAGGTGCTACTAACAGCTTGGGCTCCAGTCATCACTGACCGCCGTCAGTGGACCCAGACAGGAGCCCCAGCAAGCAGCCAGTCATGGCTTTCAGCTGCTAGTGTTTGCAAACACTCAGGCACTGTCGTCCGCAGTTCTCCAACCAGGACCGCTACTGAGTCCCGTCCCTGTCCCAGTGCCATCTGACGTGACAGACGCACACCTTTCTGGACCTGGCCCGGCTCCCATCACAGCCAGAACCCCCATGGACACACGCTATCTCACAGTGCAACACTTATGCTCCCGTTTCCTGCGCTATTTCTGGAGTGAGATTTTTCCCAGCGGGCTGTGTGGGTAGACGGCGGAAAGCCGTAACTAGAATGTTCCAGACGGTGACCAGAAATGCAGAAAAATTCTCAGAATGCAATTAATAGGAAACACTAATTTAGTGGTTCAGCAGGTGGCGCTGTGGCCTCACACCTTCAGGGTTGTGGTTTTGCTTCCTGTCCCCGCATCGGGTTTACTGGAGTTTGTAAATTGCTCATATTGTGTATGTTCTGTACCAACTGGCATTCTGTCCATGGTGTCCCCCGGCCTATTCCCTGTGCTTCCTGGGATAGGCTCCAGTCCCACCACAATCTTGTCCCGGAGAAGCGGAGATGGAAAATGGAATGGATTGGGTCATTTTATTCTAAAATCTCAACTGAGTACCAAAGGGCTTTTATTAAGCATTCACGGTTGCAGTTCTGGATCTCCCCAAAACTTGGAGCAAAGTCTGAGCTGTGTGGGTATCCGGTGCCTGGACAAATCCTGCAGATAGAGGTCTGTTGTTCTGGATCAGCAGTCGGCCCAGAATGAACCTCCTCTCCCACGTGTCGGAAGCACGTCTTCATATGTATGAGGCTCCCGATCTCACTATTTATTTATTTATTCGTTTGTTCTCTAAAGCCCCCACCATGTTTCTCACAGACCCACTGGCATACTGACTCACCCCGTCCACAGACCGGCCTCCCAAAGCTGTGGTGAGTCCTAGGAGACCAGTTCCCATGCCTGACTTTCTGCAGGATACCAAAGTTGAATTATTTGTGTATTTTTGGTTCCAGAAAATACTGTATGTAGCTTTTAGGGCTATGAGGACTTTATTGTAATTTCGTCTAAAGCTCATGGGCACTGCAGCGTTTTGTATATTTGTACAGTCGTTTTTTTTTGCAGAGCAGACTAGAGTTTGTCGGTCGACACGGATATTTACTGACTATCGTTTAGAATTCAAGTTGCTGTTTTTGGATGAGGATGAGCTAATCCTGGTAGGGACTCTGTTTCTCACCGTTAACCTGCGGGGCACAAACTGGATGCAATCCAATAGAGAGAAATTACAATGCTGCTTATTACTATTGCCTTATAAATGTTTGCTCCAAAAAATTCTCTGTGTATTAATTTTATTGTGATATCAGTTCAGTTCAGAAGTGCTGAGAGTCATTTTGTGCCTAAGCAGAATGTAAGTATATAACCATTATGCACATTATGTGGACTCTGTACCCGCTGTACCCACTGTACCCGCTGTACCCGCTTGCACCCGAACTAGTTATGAATGGCTGTATACCAACAGAAAGACCATTCACTGTTTTTTTATGACTATATGTATCATAAATAATATTTAATCAAAACATTTTGAATGTTTGCATTACTTTACTGGATTAACACATCACCCTGGACCAGAATTATTATTTTTTTAATTAATAAATAAAATAAAACTGTAGTATAGTTTTTACACTTCAGTTTGCATGTATTTAGAGGTGTCTAATTTTAAATGATGGAGTTTAGAACAGACCACCCCCACATGAAGCGAACATTTCTGTTTCTGGGAACAGACAGTAGGGATCAGGGGCGGACTAGCTTCTCATTTGGTTCTAGGCTAACATGGATAGCCCCCCCCCCCCCAAATCAGCGAATGGAACATCAATAATATTCTAATCAAAGCGCTGGGTGCCAATGGTAAGTTCTCAAACTTTCCTTGAAGTGTAAATTTAAAACTTACTGATCAGGGTGGGGGCGGGAGTGCTGTAGGTAAAATTCACCGCCGGGGGGAGGTATCACGCCGGTGGATCGAGGAAGCAAATTTAAGATATCAAACTCTTCCTTCTTATGGTGTGAAGACTTTACCCTACACCTTACTCCACCCTTGAGGCCATCTAGTTAATCGTTTGTTCAATTTGTCTACCTCCCTAGTGAGGCAGTATCTAAAGACACTGGGTATGCAGTGTTAGTCTTGTCAATAACTTATGTCCATAAATGTAACTTCTGGAAGTTCTGTCTTCATGAGGTTCCTGGCGGCTGCCTACCCTTTAGTTTATGGTAAGTCTGCCCCTGGTAGGCATGTGTCCCTACCAATATTGTGGGAGTACCATGTTTGTGTCTCAAATTTTACTGTATTTGACTCTCCCTGCCGGCCCCTGGAGGATGGGCTCCCCCTTTGAGTCTGGTCCCTCCCAAGGTTTCTTCCTTCTAGGGAGTTTTTCCTTGCTAATGTCGCCTATGGCTTACTCACTGGGGGCTTTGGGTGGGGATGCTGTAAAGCGCTTTGAGACGATGTAATGTTGTGATAATGCGCTATACAAAAATAAATTTGTTGTTGTTGTTGTTTGGAGGGGCGAGGGGGTTGTGGCTGATTTGGTCCCTATTAATGTTAAAACCAAACCTACATCCTTGTCTTTTACTTAAGGAAAACTGACCTTCGAGAATTAAAAGTCCTTTCATATTTGCCTTTAACAGATTAGAGGCAGGGTGGGTTGCTTTTCAGGTAGTAAGAAAGCCTGTGTTTACTCTTCCGAAAAATGCACAGGCAGCAAAACCAGCTGGCCAAACATGTAGAGTAGGGGCAAAACGGGGATAGATTTCAAATTAGCTAAAATAAAATTACTAAGTAGACCCTGGGAATTTCCGATGAGTCACAAATCCTAAAAAAAAGTTGGAGCACTTCCAATGGTAGGCCAGTGTAGACCACTTCGGCTCGGTTTGCAAACGGTCTGCTCGACAGTTTAAGGAGAGTGACTCAGAGTGCCCTGATAAAATAAAATTCGTGTGCAATTCACTCAACAACGAAGACGGCGTTTAAAACAAAGGCTGGGAGTATTATGCACACAGGCGGTATGCAAAAGACAACACAACATGTAGGAAATACATGCCACGATGTGTTTAATTCAGTGGACTGAATGCTGAGTGAGTCATCGTGGCTGAATACATTAGTCACCTATCTCTTAGGGATTTTAACAAAGCCTGTAGCGATGAAAAATGTAGTTGAAGTAGAGTGATGTCATTTGGATTAAATGGACAAAATCGAGTCATCCAATGGGGAATAATATGCGGAAGAGAAGTGTGACACAAAGTTATAATCCAGACCGTGCGGAGTTCCTGAGCACACCCAGTTCAGAGGGCTATTGTACCTTCGGAAAACGTCAGCCGGGGATATCACTGGGTGGGAACACTGGGAAGAGAAACATTACATCCGCATGGGAAGTGCGCCAGTTCCCGCTGGTCGTGGGTTATCGCAAAAGTTTTAAATCGGAATTTACACATCCAACCAGGGGCGCCGTAAGGGGGAGGAAAGCTAGGACGATTCCAAGGGCCCCTGAGTGACAGGGGCCCTAAAAAATTAGGAAAATAACTGGATTGGTTTGGACTGGGGGGCCTAATATGATATGCTTTCATGGGGCCCAAAATCTCTAGCAACGCCCCTCATCCAACTATCCCTAAAGAGAAAACTCCGCGTTTAAGATACTCATCCGGCTGTAATGCTTTAAAATTGCTGTCAGTTGAGCGTTGTGGTTTCCCTCGATCTGACCTTTGATTTTTCCCGTCACCTTGAGTTCGCCTGCCTCTGGAAGGTCCCACAGTTCTACAGCCCATTGCCCAGCTGGTGGTCCTGGCTTTCGACCTCAGCCTTCACACTTAATTGCTTTACCGCCTCAGTCATGATGAGCCTAATCTGGTCTCAATGAAGGTTTGCATTTGCAGTGTTGGTTCGTGTTTTCATGGATAATTAAATATACCGAGAGCATTCAAAAATTTATACTTTGGATTCTTTTATCCGTGCTATTTTTACACCTGGAACTCAGCATCTGGATACGATTGCATTTTCCTACCGCTGTGCTGTTGCATTTCACATGTACAAAAACCAGGCTGGATGCTAATGCTTGTTTCAGACGCTGTTTCTCATCTACGTGGGAGAACTAAGAGCAGAAGTATAGTATTCTGGTAGTGCAGTACCAGCATACAACATGATATACGGTATATCACCTGCTGTTGGGCCCTTGAACTGTTCATACAGAATAAAAGATAAGTAAGATATAGGCCTACTTTATTGGACACAATATTTGTCAAATATTTAGATACAGGCACGGAGATATACTGCACATACACATGCCAAGGTCTAAAATGGAAGGGTCCATTTTACAATAAGGCTCCCTATTGCCACTTATAAATGGTAATAACTTATTACTACGAAGAAAACTGTGGTTTAACTTGTTTATAATTGTCTAGCAATGATTTTCAAAGTGTTACAACTTAATTAATAACCTGCTTATAAACCATTCATAACCATTCATCCCTTTATAAGAGTAGCCTTATTGTAAAGTGGCACCAATGGAAGATATATGTATTAAGTTTCGGCGATTACAGTTAAATCGCTTTTACTGTTCTACTTTTGACTCTTTGATAAACAAAGCATGCATTGCTTTGAAATGGTGGAGACTGTCCCATACAACACAGTACAAGGATGGTATGCTAGTTCATTCCAGGGCTCATACACACAACATGCAATTTATGCTTTTGCACTGCGGGGAGAAACCACGCGACTCGGGAAGAATACACAGACTGCACACGCGCAATGACCAAATATTTCAATGATTTTTAAATATAATTTTAATGCAGCAATATATACACTTGTATAAATGAAAAAATAAAATTCTGATCCATTCATGTCGACATAAATAATAAAATGCCCACTAGGTGTCAGCATTTATCAACATACGTTATTCAAACGTATTCGATTTATACACCAGTGTTTACGGGGTCGTAATTAAAAAATGTAAGGGTCTTCCAGCATTATATGCACATAAAACAGAAATGCGTTTTCAAATGATAGTGCCAAATCTAAAAAAAAGTCCAGTCTAAAACTGCTGAACCGTTGAAACCGGTTTCAAAATATATGTCTATCTTAATAATAAAAAAAATAGTTTCCAGTTATATGTGTTATATGGAGGTTTTTTGTACAGAGACTTAAAGGGTCAGAGAATTTAGGTATATAATGTACTTTAGAATAAATACAATATTGATCTTTAGCAGAAAAATCCTGATGTAGGCCTATTGCACGGTAGGCCCTATTTAAAAATAAAAATATACTAATATGTGTCACCCACTGGTCCGGGTAAGTCCCGATGACGTTAGACTGAGTTTCTACATCCTCGCACCCATGAAATCCCAAGTTGCACAACTGGCACCATCAGGGAAGTCTTTTCCCTGCCCGCCCCGGTTTACAGCAGAACTGGTTGGGGCTACGTACGCCCCTTCCCAGTCCTGATCAGTTGCACTATTTGACTTATACGCGTCTAGCAGAGCTCATCTTGGTTTTCATAGGGTTTGAGCGTTTCGCTTGTGGTTTTTCCTGTCCTGCCTGGTTTTCCCGATTTCTTTTGCCTTTATACCTCGATTACTGCCTAGCGCGACGACTGACGGCGCACCTCGCCCGAACCCTGTTCTGTCCAGTGAATCTGAATATTGCCTAAGCCTTCTGATCGCCGACGACACTCGCCCGACCCGTTTCTGCTACCGACTACCGCCTCTGCCTGTCGAATAAGATACCGATTATTTGCCATAATTCTCCCCGACAGTCACTGTGTTTTACGGTATCCGTAAAAAAATAATCCGGAAACTGATTCGGGCAAGTGTCCGTCGTACAGTCCCCCCCCAAATAAAGGTACACTAATTAGTTTAAATAATTTGGGCAATTTCCGTCAGACCTCCCTAATAAAGCCTTAGCCCCCCCCCCCAATCTCTAGTGCCGTACGCCCTGACAAATATGTGAAGAAGCAAAATGTGGTGGCATAGATACTTTTGTAGAACACAGTAGATGTTACTTTCAGTAGGCCTACAGTGTGGCAGGATGTGTAATACTTGGCAAGCGACTGGACACGGTACGTGGCTAAATTTTGAGTTTTCTGTGTGTAAATAAAACTCAGTTGGTCGCTGGCGCGATGGAACCCCATGATTAACGATCTGCTCTGTGGAATAAAAACACACAAAACAGAGTCATTCTTATATTATAATGACGAAAGGGTGGAAATATTAATTTTTATGGATCACAGAATTCAACAAGAAACCCAAGCAGTTGGATTGGAGTTATAAATTTACAGAAAAAAAACGAACATCAAGTTTAAAATATATACACCAGACTGTATATGTGCAATGTGCCTCTAGGGAAATGTGCAACATTATTCCCAAATGACACAAAAGATCCACATTGACAGAATATGGAATTTACATTCAGTTCAGTTTGAAATGGGTTTTGGCACGCCAGTGCTGCTGAGAACAGACTCACAGTATCTGTTATTTTTTATGATTCTTCAGCTCACTATTCATTACACTCTTGGGAGTGTTGATTAAATTCATCAGGACCGAGAGAGAAAAGGCAGCACAGGTCAGGATACAGTTGAAGACACAACAAAACAGAAAGAATAATAAAATAGAGGAACTCAGAATGAATGAGCAGTCTCTGTGAATGTGCTTCCCGTGGAGAGTAATAATATATGCAGTAAGAGGCTGTACTTTGATGGTATGGGTCAGCCTTTCATTAGACAATCAGTGCTGTCTGGAGCTAATCCGACTGCTATGATTGGTGTAATTTGCTAACCAGTGCACCGGATTAAACTCAAATATCAAATGTGATTAAAGTCAGCATACCTTAGGCTGCTCATGTTTCAGCCTGGACCAGAGATGCTTTTTCACCGCATACACACACTCCAGACAGTTATGAAACAAAGTTCAAAGAGAGGCAACGGTGGCCCAGACAAACGCACAACTTTGGGAATGGTATCCCTCTCACGTGACATATTTGCATTCATCTTCCATGGGACGTGCCAGGACCCCATTTGGTAGGACAGACAAATAGGAGGGAGAGAGATGACCGTGTTTCACTGGATTCCTGATGTGAGCTCATTCGGAAACCCCCCTGCAATACACACGGTAGAAAAAGCAGTTCATCTTTTTCTTGAACTCTTTCTATTTTTTGTTTATTCGTGCACCTTATATTCCTCCTTGGTATAATAAGCTATCATACAAAGAGAGAATGCGAGTGGCCTTTTTGGGCTCTGCGGTGTTACTGTCAGCTTGCACGGTAGCCTTCGCAGTAGCCTTGTGCTCCGTCGCATGAAGGGCAGCCAGGCGTAGGGGTTTTGGAGCTGCCTTTGTGACCCAGAGGATTGCAGGATCTGGTATTTCAGAGCAGCCCTTGCATTCACGCTCTGCCAGCTGTGCAAAGGACTAGAACTGAAAGTTACTTGGGGTCACTCACCAGTACGACGCTCTGAAGCAGAAGACCCAGACCAGCCTGCTGGAATCTACACTCTGCAGATCAGCTTGACCCGCTGAGCTGGTCAGATTTCTGGGGGAAAATGCTCCCCCCCCCCCTTTGGTAGGATGGCTATCCTGAGGTCCAGCTGGTTGCAATTGTGTCATACTGTCTATAAAGGAAGAGCCCTGATGTATTTATTGTAGGCAATACTATAAACGTGTAACAATAATAACTAAGACAACAGGCTCTTATTGAACAAAAAAATGTTATTTTCCATCTAACTGAAGTTTAATTGTTTATGTGTTACTAAATTCCTGTAATGGGAATGAATAGCCCTGTTGCCCCCACCCCTTCCTAACTTCCACGTGGTATAACCCTATTGAAAGCCCCTTTTCCTCCAACAGTGTGAATAAATATACAGCCAAGCTGTGTTCCAAAGGCATCTGAGCGAGCCTGGTGGGGGGCCAGCGTCAGGCTCCATTTCTTGCTCCTCTCTCCCATTTGGGAAATTCACTGGTTCTGGGAATGTGGCGCCAAAAGCTCTCCGCAGGGCACTGGGTCCCAGTTTGGCCCAGATGGCTGGAGTGGCGTATCTGTGGTCTGGCACGGGACCAGCCAGTAGGCCACCCGGGTGCTTTCGGCCCGTCCCTGAACCCGCGGGTCGCCCGGCCAGACGCACTTCCACTCTTAGAAAGTCTTCTTCCTGGCTCCACAATGCCTTAAAACATGAAGTTATAACAATGAAAAAATGCTCTCAGAATGCTGAAAAAATGGGGCGGTGTGGGCCGGTGTCAGCCGGTGCGGCGCTAGGAGAGTTTCAGAGACGCTTTGTAGACGACTGAAATATTCCGTCTCCTAACACTATACAGCAGAGTGCGACTCCAAAGTCACTCTCCATTGAAATATCCCAGGGTATGACTGGGCTAAGAGAGTTAAAAGTCATAAAAGAGTCCTTGCTTATAAAACAAATATGTAGTTTGAACTTCAAAGTGTTAGTGCAGTGCATGGAATGAGATGAGTTTAAGCGTGTATCTATGTGTTTAAGAGACATTAGATGAATCTGGAATTTCAGAAGCTAAGGGGTGTGGAATCGACCTGTTTTATCAGACGGTTTCAGGCCAAGTTTGATTTTTGCACACGCACAGTGATGTGGGAGGGGTGGGAATGCTCCAGCCGGCAGGGGAACGAGTCCCGCCCTGCCCCGTAGTTCTGTGGTTGGGTTTGTATGGTGCCAGATTCGGGGTCTCAGGTTTTTAATGGGGAAACCTGCATATTCGCCTGAGGCAGAACCCCATATCCAGCTTCGTCCGAGCATGAGGTCGGTCGCACCCCCCACGACCTACCCTTGCAACCACAATGGGTCTGTCAAGCCTCAGTAGACAAGATTATAGTACAGTTTCCTACCTCCCACACCTGCGTTTTCATTTAAGAAGCCTTAGATTAGGGTTAATGTCCACGAGGCGAGCCGGGGAGGGGATGGGGAGTGTGTGGGGGCATTAATGAAGCCTAAACAGGAAGAAGCGCTTCCATGCGCACATGCCAAAGCCGACCGGCTGCATCAACATTCGCATCATGGGAATGTGGTGTGGCGTGGCGTGGTGTGGTGTGCTTTGGCGGTCCCTAAACTAGAACGAGTCAATGAATCAAACTAAGCTGGAATGAGTGCAAGGTAACTGGAACAGAAAAAAAGAAAATGAAGTCGGGTGAACTAGTTAAGGTCAACTAACAGCTTAAATGAGCTGCAATGAAGAGTCAGTGTCCCACAGAAGGAGAAACAGCATTCATGTCCACAAGGTTCCTGGTTCCATCTATCCATCCACTTATGACTGCAGTAACCCGGAGACTCAAGCAGTCCAGCAGCGTGAGGCAAAGGTGTAAGATAGGCAGCTCACAAACACAATAAGGGAATTTGGAAAACCATGTGGAAAGCAGAACAGACAAGGTCCACTCACAACAGAGCTGTCACTGGTCTCGAACCCTTGACCACGTGTGTATGCAGTAACGGTGCTGCTCACTGATACTCCAGGTCTCTTTACCCAAGCTGCTTTACGAAAACTGCTGAAAAAACATGCAGTATCCAAGCTTGTGGCCATTCAGATGGAATGAGTTACTCCTTTCACATTTTCCAGGTAGAATCGAGAGATGCTCATGTCCCCCGGTGGCTAGAGCTGTAGCCTGCTGGTCAGGGGGTTTAATGCTGCTCTCGCTCTGTGGGTGTGTATGTTCTCCTCAAGCTTGCATCAGTTCTATCTCACGGTCCAAAGACATGTGGTTAGGTTAAAGTGGCTTCTCTAAATTGCCCATAGTGTGTTTCATTGAAGAGTAAATTCCCAAAATTCACATTTTCAAGAAAATTTCTGTGGACTTAGTGAGTTTCGGAAATTTAACAAAAGTTCTTCACTGGATTACATGAGGACCGAATGAGTTTTGGTTCCCGATACTGTAACATACAATGAGAAAGCCTGAGTTTGGGTCATCGGTGGTCTCAGAAATAACAAAGAATTGACTGAGTTTTGGAAATTTGCTCTTCACTTGTGTTTGTGTGTGTCCTGAGACCATGACATCCCATAATGAAATATGCCTAATGTGGGCGTCGCAGCCAGACATTGCTATATGCTGGGAGGCACTTCACTGAAGGCACTTATCGCCTTCATGAGCTCAGAGGTCTGGCTTGTTCACTCATCACCCCACCAGATCTGCAGAGCTTCCCCTGCTGCCCCCACCAGCGGAACAGCAGCATCCCAGGGGAATCCAAGAGGAGACGATGAAGATCTCAGCCTAATGAGTGCCTTCTGGTGGCGGGGATGACGCCCAGACCCAGACACACACGGCAGACACTGACTCACAAAAGTGGGGGGGGCGGGGGTGTCATCCGTAGCATTCAGATTGACCAGATTGGAGGAAGACAGAGAACAACTAGTGATTTTATTACATAAAAAATATTTACATTAAACATATATATATAAAAAGAATTGCACTTTCATGAATAACATCAAGAAAACAAGGTTTCAGTTTACAAACTGTACATTCTGCAGGTTAAATCTCATCATGTAGTGTTCTAGATAGTGACAGACTGCTCTGGTACCCAAAAAGTCAGCTGGCTCAGGAAGTTACAGAGTGGTTTTCAGTTAATTATTTCACTTTGCTTCTAAGACGTGTATCCCTGCCCGTATTTCACCACATTTCAGTCTTAACGTTAAATCTTTCTGCAAAGGAATGAGCAAGGTTCCTTTCTAGACAAAATTGTTTATCACGTCGCTCCCCAAAACGGCAAAAAAACTGTGAATCTTGGCATGAAAACTCCCAACTCCTACACAGACCTTCATGCCGGAGGTGGGCTAGTCTTGACAGAACCATTTGTTACATGTGCTGAGATGAAGTACAGTCTCGTAGCTGAGAACTCATTGGTGAGAGAACTTTATCTTGTTGTTTCTCAACAGAACTGGTTTTGCAGGCAGAAATACGGAAGAGATACCTCAGTGATGTCCTAGAAACTACTGCCTTTGATAAGAAAACTGTTAAGTAGTTTAGGCAATTGAAAGAGAACACATTATCAAGGACAAACTCAGATTTCTCAATTATTAGCTTCATCAATCTATCTTCTGATCTGCTAGGGATTGTGTGAGTGGGGGGAGGGTGGCGTATCCCAGGAAACAAGGGGCATTACTTATTTAATTTTTATGACCGAGAAACAATGCAGTAAAACTCTGCCACAGACACAGAAAGCAGGAAGGGCCCATTAAACCATAAAGCATTTTTACACTTTTTACAGGAAATTAGCAACATTCACACACCCAAATATATGTCCGGAAATTCAGGCCTTTCTGACGCAAATTGCACATTGGTCCCTCGATTTAGAAAAGGGCCACCAGTCACTGAGTATGTTGTGGGGTGCTGCCTCCCCTCTGCCTGACATAAAACAAAGGCCGTGTCTGAAATCGCATACTTACACAGGAGGTACAGAATTTTGTCAGAAGCCTACTACTTGACTGTTAATGCAGTACACACTGCACATACAGGTGAGAACAGTATGCACACTGCGGCCGTTATCTAGCATACTATCTGACATAGCTTGACCCCTGCAAGTTAAAAGCTATTAAAAACAATGAAAAAAATACGTATTCAAGTCAACTTACGTAACTGGGTATTGTTTTCTACAATTCAATTTGTACAAAAACGGCACTTCTTCCAACATAAATGACAAACATTTCTGAGCAAGTGACATTCTGCGTCTCTGTCTGCAGCTCCAGTGGCCACGTGGGATAGCATAGCATCCCTCGCCTGCACCTTTCAGAATTTAGCAGAATGTAGTATGTCATCCGGGTACCATTCGCCTGCTGTCTCATCCATACTGAGGATTTAGGCATACTGCTCAGTTTGCATACTATATCTCGCCTACTACATAACAAACAAGTATGCGATTTCAAACACACCCAAAATCTCACCTCCTCCACCCCCTGTGGCAAATACACACATGCTGCCAGTTTTGGCAATTCTGAAGTGCCCATTTGTCAGACCCAGATTTTGTTCAGACATGAAGGGGAATGACTGGGAAGTCCCCCAGCTCTGCGAGGTACTGGGACATCTTCTTCCCCAGCCATGACATGTAGAGAAGGTACCAGGCAGTATGATCTTCTTAATGAGCATTCCTCTGAACTCCACACAGCCTGCTGTATCTGATCCCAGGTGTGGTTTTCGTTTCGTTTCCACGATATCAGAGCCGTCCCAAAACATTCCAGGTATGTTTGTTCTCTGCAGGGCATTCTGGGTAATCTGGAGATCTGTGTGCATATTTGCCGGTGTGCCATTTATTAAAGGAAGCAAACAGTGTGCACATCAGGCCAAAATCCCCAGCGGTGCAGCTCCCAGTGAAGTCCGCGCATGTTTGTCGAAGCTCGAGTGAAGCGACTCAAAACTGAAATCGGCTTACATGTGACCTCACTCCCCCCACCACAGACTCCGAATGCCAGCATACTGTTTCTCCTAAATTCCAATCCCCCCCCAGCCACTCCCCCCATGCTGAATCCTACTGCTCAAAGTCTTGGAACGTAGTGTACGATGAACAGATCCCTTTGTCCTGGTTTCCCGTTCTTGGGTAGGTATCCCGCATTCCGGAATAGGTTCCACACATTCTGGGACAGGTTCTGTGTGTTCTGGGATAGGCACCATGCACAGCAAGGCTGGCACAGACGAGTGGTGCTCCTTTCTCCGCTTAGAGGAGCTTCCCACATTCCTTGTCTCTCGCTCTTGCTGGAAGTTCTGGCTGCCTTTCGAGCCGACGGCTTACTGGCCCGTAGAATTCTCATGCCGAGATGCACCAGGGTGGGGGTACCCGCGGCATCGGTACCCGCTGGTCAAGCGAGAGCTTTGGCCTTCTCACAACTCCTCTTCTGCCACGTGGGCCGACTTTAGAACGTCTGAATCTCGTTAGTCAAAAGATCTCTGTCACGTTTACATAAATCCCAAAAATAACACGATCAGATCCCTTTGTAGGAAACAGTGCAGATGGCAGCCCTCCAGCCCCAACCCACCCCCCCTCCCCAAGCCGAAGCTCACAGGTCGAGGCGAAAGGCACCGAAGTAGCTGGAGGAGTCGTCAGCGTGCACCATGTTGGGGGAGGAGACAGAGACAAAAACCTCGTCACCCGCCCGCAGCTCGAAGAGCCCCCCCTGATGGACCGAATGCAGCGCGTACTCTGCGTCGGGTGCCCAGCATTTGGTGCCCACGCCCTTCAGCAGCAGGATGGGCCGCAGGTACGAGGTCTTCTTGTAGATGCACTGGACCAGCTGGTGGCTGCCTCCGTCCTGGTCGCCCTCGCCGGGTGTCGGGTAGCGGAAGTACACCTGCGAGTACAGGTAGTAGCGGCCATCCTGGGGCACGCGGAGCCGCCCGTTGACCAGGCTCATGTTGTGCAGGTGAGAGCCGAAGCTCTGGTTCCCCCAGGAGCGAACCTGGTGGCGGCAGGACTGGTGCAGGTCCGCTTGGGGGGTCTGGAACTGGTGGGAAGACCCTGAGGATGAAAACAGAAGGAGGTAGGATGAGGAAAAGGAAGAAAAAAAAGAGGACCAAGCAGGCAGGGGGTTAGATAAATAAACAGTCGCATTCCTCGATTGGAACCGATTTGAGACTGGACCCCGCTTTCCGGTTCCCCCGAGCCGGACTTGAAGGACCCCAGGAGAGCTGTACAGATGAGCAGCAGATGTCGATCTGGGTCCTGTTGCACTTCTCTGGTTATGAAACTTTATTAGCAAATGCATGAATATTCGCTGAACTATTCCAGAGGATCAAGGGACCTGACTGTTTACTGGGCCGTCCCATCCCAGTTGGGTGATTAGCTTAATACTGCACCGCACATCTGATTCGCTCCCTCACCACAGCCAATCCTGCCTTTCTTGGTGGCCAAACTCTCTCCCAAAACCGCATCCCTCTGACACACTATCCTCCTTAATCCTTGTGGCTGTGTAAATCTCACACACACAGACACAACACACATTTTTTTGTCACACATGCACGTTTTCCCTCTCCCTCATGTGAACACACAAACTTGCCGTTTCTCCTTGTAACACAGACACATGCATGCATACACAAACAAACACCGTCCTTTACCCTGCAAACTGCTGTCCCGGAGTGTCAGGTGGGCTGATGGCCTCTGCGTTGCTATGGTGACAAACTTTGACCCCGTCATGTTGAAGGACGTGCGTGGCAGGTTTCTTGCTTCTGAAAATAGGACGTGAACACAGAAAAACCATGTAAACAACAGACGTCTCACGCACGTGTGCACGTGTATGCATGCCAACAATGTTTTTATTACATTGTTCAGGAGCTGGAAATAGCAAGACTATCAGCAAAGAGCTTATCTGCACTCACAATGATCAGGGTTGGTCAAGCGATCAAAGCTGGTAGACAATGAACCGGACTTTGTCTTAGAGAGAAAGATGGGGACAGGGAAAGAGAGAGAGATGAACAGAGAGAAAGAGAGAGTTGAATGGAGAGAAAGGGGGAGAGAGAAAAGACGGAGACAAAGAGAGATGGCCGGAGAAAAAGAAAGACAAGGACAGAAAAAGAGGGATGAAGGTGGAGAGAAGGAAGAACAAGAAACAGAAAGAGAGAGACTGAGACAGACGGAGAGAGACAGAGTAAGGAACAGATACAGTGAAATGAACAGTGAGAAACATGTTTGACATTTTCTTTGTTGCAATTTGAGCTCGAGTCACATTGTTCTTTTGGCAGGCAGAAGCTAAGTAATGGGAAACACGCCCTTCGCTGTCAAACGTCCCCACGGCAACAGCGAGTCCGCCGTAGAATCCCCCCCGGTGGAGGAGTCTGGCCTGAGCACTTTGTCTAGGTGGTGGACTCTCACCTTGTAACGTGTGCCGGGAGATGACGCTCTCAGTCACCTGCAACATCAAACGCGGCTATTAAGGGACACAGTGACAATGGCTGCTTGTAAAGAAAGGAGGAAATGCATATAGATTATATTAAAGGCAGTAAGCATATCACAGGTGTCTGGGAAGGAGTGTCAGAATAACCAGTAGACAAAATGTCTCACTCATTTATCACATAAATAACGATACACAATAATGTTTTCCCTAGGGATGCAGGTGAGTGTGAGTAATGACACTGTTCCTTGGTACCAAGGTTAAAGTTCACCCCAACAATAATCTAATGACGTTCAGAACCCAGAGCTATGGAGGTTAATCTTTTCTCTAGCTGTTGTTTCTGGTATTCTGTTTCCTCATTGAACTGGCTTGATATAAGGCCTTTGTGTTGGTAAACTAGGTTGATATTAGCCCTTTCGGTCATTAAACGTGTTTGAACTGCCTGCCAGCCTCTCTGATCCGCGTCGTGGGCGGTGCTGGCCTGGGGAAGCCTTGCCAAACAGTTTAGGTGGGTAAGGCTTTGGATTGTGGATCATTGCTTTGCCTCGCCCTGCGTGTGTTGACAAGAAATCGCTCTAAGGCTTCAGTTCGCCTCCAGCGAGTGACTCGACTTTGCCATGTGTTTCCATTGCCAGAACAGCGGTGCAAAGAGCGTACTGACGACTCCCACGTGGACACGCCCCATTCTGGGAAACCGAGATCAGCCTGAGGGCCAGTCAGGGTCCCCCAGCCCCCCCCCCGCAGCTTCATTACAAATTCCAGCACTATTGCAGCATTACATTCAGCAGACATTTTAATCCAAAGTGACATTTTTTATAAAAGCAGGGTCAGCCAGTCCCTGAATCAATTTGGGGTCAAGGGCCCAACAGTGAGATCTCCCTGCCAACCTCAGGACTTGAACCAATGAGGTTAAGGTTAAAAGTCCTGCTGATCCTAGGACTAGAACCAGCAACCTTCTGATTATAATGAGAGTGCCCTAACCTGATGAGCCACACCCCACCCCTACAGGACCTGACACAGGACCCAGCACAGCAATGAACACGACCCAGTGATGTGTCCCAGGGACAGGAGGTCTCCGGGCATGAAGCCACACGCTGCTTATCCAGCCAATCAGGAAGGGTTCCTAAGCGCAGCACTTCTGATGCTGATGCAAACACAGGCCTTCTGTAAAACACAGCCCCCCCTCCCCCGCACACCTGGACTGGAACAGCACGCAAACAGCCTAAGCCTCACCCCATCTTTACTTCTGCTCTGAGAAGGTAGGGGAGCTGTGTTGAGGGACCTGGGGGGGTGATATTCAGCAGTAAGAGCAGCGTAAGGAGTCTCTCTGTAATGGCTTCCATCTGGCCCCGTTCCCCATGCGACGAGACTGCCATGTCCACGACTGTTTGTCTCCCGGCCGCTCGCTAGCTCAGCTAGGACATTCCAGGGTTCCGTAATTGCCTCTATTCAGAAGAGGTGCATGTGTTTCAGATTAGCGGGGGGGCGAAGGCAGGCCTGAGCCCCCCCCCACCCCACACACACAGACACACACAGACCGACACACACATACACACGCACACCACCCCCCACCCCGGTAATGGAAAGCAGCCTCGGCCAATTAGTACCAGAGGACTTGCCACTGATGTTGCCCAGGACTGCGGCTGGGGAGGCGGAGGGGGTGGCAAGGGGTGGGTATTGATGGAAGGGATTTGGGACTGGAGGGGGGGGGGGGGAGCAGAGGATGTAGGTGGGGCTGGATCATACGCTGGGCATCGCTGGATGCCCACTCAGCACATCTGCTCTCACCAGAGACATCAGTGATGGCAGAAGGTGGTTGAATCTAAGGGGCATGTGTGCTGGGAACAACTGCTCTTGGTGAAAAACATCAGAAGACAGCAGGGGGAACTTAATAGCTTTTTAAAATGCTGATTCACCTCCCCAGCTCCAAATATAGCCGAAGATGTCACTGAAGACGTGTGAAAAACCTTCCGTGCTGGGTTTCCACGAGCCGCCTATCCCTCCGGCGCCACACTGCTGAGGCACTAATGTCCGATATCGGGAACTGAACCTACCCCCACCCCGACCGCCTGTTGGCACCCCCCACGGAGTCCCACAAAAGCCTGTCAACAGACTCCTGGAGAAAGGGAAGGACTGGTGGAAATGTACTGGCTCCTATGGACAAAAAGAGGAAGTTGATGGCCTCCGGTATGATTGGCTTTGGGAAAGTGGGCGGGGACACGGGGGAAGTGTGCCGATTGGACGAAGATTTCTGGTGTGCTCTCTGGTAGGTGGCAACCTTCGGGTATATCTGACATTAATCAGTGACTACTACGACATGAGGGCCTGCATCGGGAAAGTCGTAAATCAGCCCGAATTTACTAAACATGACGCTTTTATGGGGGGGGGGCACAGCATGCAGTGTGGACCCACCTTGGAGATATAGGCCCGGATGCCCTCGGCCAGCCTGACGCAGGGTTCCCCCAGCAGTGGGGCCAGATCCAGGGGCACATCGTGGTCCCTGTCCAGCGCGTTGAGCAGACCCAGGCAGCGCAGCTCCTCCTCCATGCCCTGGCTCTTCACCTGTCAATCAGAGGGCGGAGGCGGGCCGTGAGCAGGGCAGCGATCCTCCCCGACTGGGCCGCGCTCACAAGTCCAACTGCTCTGCCAGCAGTTAATGCCTTTCCAGGATGGAGGGGAGCGATCGCTGGCATTGGCGTGGCTGTCAGGGGTGACGTGCCACATGCTGACGGGGGCCGGGGGCCCCTCTGTAAGACGAGTCGCCCTGGGAGTCAGCTGGAGGAAAGGGCTCCAGGGCAGAGCCCGCGTGTGTGTGTGTGCGTGCGTGTGTGTGTGTGTGTGTGTCTGTGTATGTGTGTATGTGTGTGTGTGTGTGTGTGTGTGTATGTGTGCGTGCGTGTGTGTATGTATGTGTATGTGTGTGCGTGCGTGTGTGTGTGTCTGTGTGTATGTGTGTGTATGTGTGTCCTTGTGCGTTCAAGTGACTGTGTGCATGACCCTAGCAATGGAGGAACATGCTTCCTCACCCAAAACTGACTTTCAAAGTAGTAAATTATGCACGTGTGGGGGGGGGGGCTGGGGGCTGCAGTTTCTCTGTGCGCGCGCATGGGAGTGTGTATGTCTTTGCATGGTTTTTAGGGACAGACCCCCCCCCATTTCTCCATAAACGTGACAGCCAGATAGAAGCAGCCTCCATATATGGTGTGGCATTTATTACACCTTGATTCTGCTATATTTCTGGGCAGGACGTAGGGCTAAGACATACTTTGTCGGTCCCAGGAGTCTTGCCGTCGTAAAGGAACTCGAGCTGCCAGACAGGTTTCAGACCAGGGTGGAGCATATTTCGGAGGACAGCTATAATATATTTATATGATTAATATTCCATTGAATTAAATGGTAAAAACACAACTGTTACTTTGTTGTGCATCTCATCCACAGTATTTACTGGCTTTATGCCCTGTGCTGCCTGGGTTAGGCTCCAGGGCCCAGCGGCCCTGCCCAGCATAAGTGCTTAGAAGATAGATGGATGGATGGATTTTCTCACACATATATCTCCAAATGAGTAGCGAACATGTGAGGATTTTATACCGCTTTTCTTATGTTGTACGGATTTAGTCCTGCTACACTGCTTTCCACCAACAGTTCAAAAACATCTGGCTTGAAAAAACGGCGCCTCTAAAATTTCCCTTAGTGTGTGTGTGTGTACGTGTGTGTGCGCGTGTGTGTGCGCGTGTGTGTGCCTTGCACTAGGTTGGCATCCCGCCCAGGGTGCCCCCTGCCCTGTGCCCTCCAGGCTGCCCGCCACCCTTTGCCGTATAAGCAGTTAGAAGATGGATAGATGTATCACCAGATTTATACATACTCTAATTTTGTGGCTATTGGATTTCCACAGTCTTGCATATTTCCAGAGGGTTTCTATGGCAAAATTAACCACCAGCCCTCTGCAATAAACATAACTGACGGCAAACTGGCTGTTGTGACTAGAAGGACTATATAAAACGGTCATTCAATACAAGACAAAAAAATAACAAACAGCTTATCCATCTGTGCCTCCATCCATCTTCGAACCACTTATCCTGGTGAGGGTCATGGGGGGAGGGAGGGGGTATGGGGGGGGGCTAAGAAACATATATGGATTTAAAAATGCCTCCTTTGCTATACCAAGGTTATAAGACTAATAGAATAAGCAGAAATCACTGAAAACCCAAAAAAACTAATTACAAAAGAATCCGGAAGATATTTAATCTGATTCTCTCTTTTCCTCTTCCCTTATTTTTTTTTTTTAAGATGGTGAAGATTTCACTTCCAGCTCCAAGTACGTTTTCAGGCTTCCACGCATCATCTGTATCCTCCAGCGTTCTGTCTAGTCTGAGCTATCAAGGCTGGTGTGTTTGCCAGACTTGATTTAGTTACGCCCTCAGCCAAGCAGTGTTTGTGCTTTTTTTTGCTGCTTGAGCACAAAGGCATTATTGATTAAAGGCACGTATTATAGAATTAAAGTAACGGCAGCAAATTATAACAAAAGAAACTTTACCCCACGCCAGACTACCCCACACCACCCCGTTGCCCCGCCCACTCTACCCATGAACATTCATCTTTGTTTGACTCCTCAGCGTTGTCAGTTCTCCTAAAACAAAATCACAGTCCTTTATCACCAGGGTGAAGATTTGTGTGGACGGATCTGGACACGCAGAAACATCAGGAGCGTTGGCAAAGCTGTCCTGCTCTCTGAAAGCCCAGAGACACGCGCAAGAAAGTTCATTAAATGTCCCTAGGTTATTTTCTGAGGGACGTTGAGGTTGGAATAGAAAGGCAGAGGAAAGGAAAGCGGGATAAAGAAAGAAAGAACAGAAGCAAGAGAGTGAGAGAGGACGAGGAGATCCAGCCCTAACAACATGCGGGTGAATGTGATGAGGGCATTTGCAACCCCATGCTCTGTGGCTGTAGTTTGGATTCCTGGAAGCTAGAGAGGCAGAACGGAATGAAAACACAGGGTTCAGTGTCAGGTTCAAAGCACACCTATGTGCACAGGTGAAGATTAACTCGCCCAGCAGGCGAGGGAGGAAGGAGGGGCCATGCACTGCAGACTGCATAATGGAGGCCCCTGCTCTCATGCAGAGCTGAATAGCTTTATTTCCCCGACGAGCCCATAAATTGTTCTCACAGGGTTTGTGCAAACGGAGCTGTGTGCTGGCCCTCGCACGGCCTTCGTGAAGAGATGTGGTCGGCCTGGCAGGCTGGGGTTCCTTCCTGGACCCCGCACGGCACTCGTATGACTCACTGAAGCCACTTCCAAACTGCTTAATCCACCGGTGCCGCTGAAGCTTGTAGCAATTACGGCCACGCCGCCGGACTCGTATTAACGACAGAGCGAGGTCACGGGCACCTTGAGTGAACTGACAGCTGGGATGCGTTCATTCGCTGCTTTCGTTTACAATGGATTTAGGTCAGCTTGCTTGTAAATGCTTGTTTAGAGTTGCTTTGTGTGAGAACTTGTGTTTTCCTGCTTTGGGTTCTTACTCATCACCCAATATAGTAATTTCCAGACAGCCAAAGGCGTCCTTTCCTTCCAGAACTCTGAACCAGCAGGAAGCATGCAGAGTGCAGGAGGCATGCGTCAGATGGTCTTCCGGCGGTGATGTTAGCTCACCCCAGCTCACCCCGCTACCCCACCTCACAGTGCTACCTGGAGGAATTAGATGTTACTACATGGTCCGTCATTGGCTGTTGTATCCACAAGCAAAATCTGTCACTGGCTGAACCTTTTTGATACAGTCGCAGGTCAGTTCTGCCATTGGTTGCCACTCTGACTGAGAGACCAGATGGGGTCTGTCATTGGCCAACACCAGTTCATGCCACAGTGATGTGCTGGATATTTATGCTAAGCTAAAGGATGTTTATAGAGCTGGGACCTGGAGTCCATTAGCCTGATCCGCCATGGCTGGGGGCGGATCACCCCCCTACCAACCCTGTATCCAGCTAACCCACTCAGCTCTCCACGGTCTGTTGCTTTTCTGAATCTGGCCTATTTATTGGGTCAGTTTTCTGCCCTCAGGACATCCTGTTTAATTCGTTGACTCCTCCTTAACATTTTCTTGTGGCAGGTGTTTTCCAAGAAAATAAAAGCACAATGATGACTTGCTGTGAAGAAACCCAGTAGCTTACCAAAGACACATAATCAACTATCTGTTATTTTTAGCAGCAAATGAGGTTTCCACATCACGTAAGACCAGGACAAGGGAATGATCCGACAGACTAAATCTGCCTGGTCACTTGACAGTGTCTGTCCCACTGAGCATCAGCCAGACATAGAGCCTTCTCTGTGTCTCCTCAGTTTTAATGGAAGCACTGGATATCCCTCCTCTCCAGTTTTCTTCTGAACTGTATCCCTGTACAATGAAGACGTGTTTAAAAAAATAAAGAAAAAACAGTTTGGCTACTATCGGGATCTCCAGTGAACTAAATGGTAAATAAAGAGACTTGTGATTTTTGGACTATGGGTCCAACTTGGGAGGTCTACACACTCCAAGCTTATGGCGGCATGAACAGTATCCCACAAGCTGCCGTCCATTATTTATACGACAAGTGCATGGACTGAAGTGCCGGGCAAGGGTAGATGCCATCGCCAAGGAGACAATTAAACAATGCTCTTTCTCCCAGAATGCCCTGCGGTGGGCCGGCAGTGCGTGCTAGCAGACTGCCTGTACTGATCCTGGGCTGAAATTGCTGAATGCTGGTTCGCCGGTTTAACGTATTTAGACGGACTTCTAAATTATTTCAAGTCCTGTCACGATAGACTACGACAAATAGTTTTGAAGAAGTGTGTGTTTTTCTTTACGGTAAACTACATAAGTGACAGTTATTTTAAAATCTAATTTCTAAATTTTACATTGGTTATTCAATGAAAAACAATTACCGGTTACTCCAAATATTTTGAAGGGGCAATAACTACTGCTTAATGCATGGTGATTATCATGATTTATTAGTTACAATGTTAATACAAATGTAATACGTATGTTAAATAAAGCTTAATTAGTGGATTGTCTTTATGACACAAAATCCTCGCTTTGTAGCTATCTTTGTTTCTTTCTGAATTACTTATTTTATAATGTAGTCAAAATATCAGTTTTACCTCGAGCAAACCTAAATCGTTATATAAACATTACCTAGAGAAAGGGACAAGGTGTAAATCCAATGGCATCTTCCTCTCCATTCTTTGAAGAATATAATGTGGGATTAATTTAAAGATTTTTCCACCAGATCATCGGTTCACGTGCCAAAAAGGATAACGGATGGTAATTTTCCCCATACTATTTAATTAAACGCGTGGATGTTATTATACAAAAATGTATAAATAAAAAACCACAAGTACTTATGTGCACTGACACCTACTTATTATTCTTATATAAAACAGCAGGAAACAGTAGAGTGATGTTTTCGGCATTTCTGGGCAGGATCCTAATACTTTCTCAAGCTGAAACTTTTAAAAGTGTATTTCGATTTCTCAGCTTCAAATTGGTTACCAGTCTGGATGTCGACAATTCTAATGTCAACCTAGATCGACATTAAAAGCACAAATACACTTATAGGTGTACCAGGCTACAACTTGTTTTCCACAAGGCAGTTTAATAAACACAGCTAGCATATATATATTAAACTTCGTCACAATAAGGAACGCAGGCTAGCCTGAAAATCAATATCTGACAGCAAAATCGATTATCTTATATTAATATGCAACGTATTGAAAAGGGCGGAGATATAAAAAGCACTATCAGAAGATCATCGCCTATATTTTTGTTATACAAAGAGTCGATCTAGGTTGACTTCGGTAGCCTTGTTTTCTCCAGTCGATCTGTCAGTTTCTCAAACGCAGTAATATTGCCCAGAAACAGTTGCAGAGACCGTAGGGAAACCCGCCAAAAGAAATGAATCTTCTATTTATCTGGGCATCAGGTCTGATTATAACAAAAGAAATGAAAGCAAACCTTACTGAATTCTGGTAGAAAAGAATTTCTTAATATGTGACATGGAAAATATATCATCCAGACAAGCAGCCTAACATATACATTGAGAATAACACTTTAGTAATATATGTTCTTATGTTGGGAATATTTTGAATGTAGCTTACATTTATTTATCAGGTCAAGTTGCTGTTGTCATGTGATTAAATTGAGATAACATGATATTTCATTTATACAATTATACAATCCAAGAAAAAAACTGAATCAAGCATCATTTAAAAACTGCATAAAAACGAGTCTGTTTGGATCTTATATTACTTGTATTATGGTTAAATAACTCTGAGTTGTATTTTTTTTTTCATAAACGCATCAATATACTGTCATCTTACCTGAGAAATCGACATGTTCAAGTAGAGAAAAACTCCTGTGGTGGAGGCTATTTGCAGCACCACCACAATAATAACGACCATTGCAATCCACAGCTTGGACGGCGCATCTCTCCGATTGTTCGTAGGAACCATCATGTATGAGGACGATTCATTACTAGCGGATCTGAAATAATCCTGGTTGTTCTGAGTAGCCATCGCATTCCCGTCTAATAAGTAAACACAAGGAAGAAGGAAACCGTCTGCGAGTCCGTAAAGAAACTTTCTGCGTCGGAGGGCAGTATTTCTTCTCCCACGTTGGTTTACTCTGGTGCGTCTTTTTGCGGCGCAGAACAAATCTAGCTGAGATTGCGGAGAAGGGTTTCGACTTCCTCAAGGTACTAAAGCTTAAGACAAGGTTGCCAGATGTGCGTGCTAGCACAGCCTGCGTTTGCCCTAGTAACTGCATGTGTTACATCTTAAATCTTTGCGGTACTCTGGTAACCCTGAAGTCTAGCTTCTCAAGAAACTTTGCATGAACAGCTCAAAACGCAAGACCGATAAGCCATGACAAATAAAGAACACCAAAAGTAAATAATGGAAGTAAGCCAGTGGGTAACTCAGCTGTTTAAAAAGCCTGATCAGATCCGGGTTTTAAATAAATAAATAAACATTACGTCCGCAGCTGTGTTAAGTATTTACGATTTTAGGGGTTTCGGAGTCACCGCACTCACAAAGGGAACCGAAGCCTGTATTATTCTAGGAGTCAAAAGCAGGCCATACACGCACGTAGACTGCAAATGCAGTGGGTAATAAGGAACTGCAGAAAAGGGCGCCTCGGAAGAAGGAAAATAAAAATAAAACAACCGGCTTTGGTTGGGGGAAAAAGCTTGATCGCAGAGATGGGTGACTACACGGGAACATACGTTTATACGTCTAATTTACGAAAAAATTGACAACGTCTGCAGCTGATTCTGTGAACGTATGGTTATTATTAATGCTTTTGTTTGTTCCACTGGGAAGCTGTACAGACTATAGACGTTGCTTCGAGTCTCCTCTTCTGGTCTACACGCTCTCTTCTTTGATGTTCTACTAATGGTGGCGTAAACCACAGTCCGGCTTTTGATGGTTAAAACAACTGGATTGCAAGCGCCCCAGGAGATATCAACATGTTTTAATTAGACTAAAGGGCAAGATTATCTCATGAAAATTGTCGTAAATACCGTACAGCCTTTTTCAATAAACATGGACTACGTTGCCAAGCAGCCTGATGTTCATTACCAGTAGATTTATGCTGGATATTGATCAATAAATTTTGTATTTGGTTCACATAACAATTATTAGAAAATGATTTTTTATCGTCCCCCTCGGCCTGTTATACTATAAATAAGGTTGGTGACCCCTGTCTAATATCTCTTGCAGGCACTTTTTAATATTCTTACCATACCTGTAGTAGTCTATTTTGGTGTTGAATAGCAAACACTGTAGGTTAATATCAGGCCTGGGCATTTGGAATATCAAACCAAGCAAGATCATTGTTTTAATTGATACTAACAGCTGGCATAAGATAATACAGGGAGCCTGTTGGCTTTGAATTACTGCAACATGAATCTCCCGATACGGCCCAAGGCCCTGCCGGAATGCTTTCACACAAATTGCTTTCTAATTTCACTGCAGCAGAAATGCAACCCTAGAGACACAGTCATTGCAAGTTGACACAAACTGATGCTGCCCACAGGTGCTGTAGATCTATGTTCTGACTGCTAAGATGGGATCCAGAAGCTTGAGAGGATTAAGATGGTGTTTAAAAGAAATGTATATCAATGAAGATAGGGCCTCTGAGGATTCTAATAATGTAAAATGAACACCTGGATTTAATGTTAAATCTATTCTTATGTATTTGTGACATAGTTCCTTGGCGGAGGCTGGATCCAGTGAAAAGAATACCGTGTGAATGAGGATATTACATCATGCGGCAGTCTTTGGTTCCCCCCGAAAGCGCCGATACTACTCATGTAAAGCAGTTTTTGGAGTGACCCTACAGTGTGTGTTATAATTAGCACATTTTCACAAATAGGAGTAGGCCTGAGGCAACATTTGTGGTTAGCCACTGGTTTCACAGGTTTCTCTGGAAGTGACATCACCACGTGGAATGAGGAAGTCACATAAAAGCTGACACAGCTCCATTACACCCATGCGGAAGGGAATTAACCAGAATTGCTCCAGGAAAAACACTAGCTTTATGAAACCCAGTAATGTCTATAGAAAACTGTCTGGTAAACACAGTACTGACCACAACCTTCCGCAAAGATCGTCTGCGGGTTTTGAGAGAATGAGAATTTCCAGAATGACCATGAATATGTGACCATGAAAGGTGTGTAAATCTCTGCCCTGTTTTGATCCCACACTTTGTTTCCATAGAGATTGGATAGTTCCAAAGTGGCCCTCTGAGGGTGGCAAATGAATAATTTTGTCAGAAAGACATAGAAACCACACATAAGGGTACACAAAGTAAAAGTTTTTAATTAGAACATTTATTCTAACAGCCCCTTGGTTGCTGGCTTTGCTAATTCACCACTACGCCACCTTCTGCCTAATATTTGAATGACATTTCATGTATATTTATGCGTGACACCCCTCCCCCACCCGTGTCACTTCTCCTGGAGGATGACCGTACAGTGAAGGTGTTTAAGTTATGCACAGTTGGGTGTGATTTCAATTGAGAATAACGATAAACATGTCTTAGTAAAAATGACACACATTACAGGAAAAAGTTGATGGATTGAAAAATGTGTGGCAGACCTCAACTGGCCCAGTCTGCTGCTGGTGCTGCTGTTCATTGTGTCAGTCCTGGGGCTGCACGCACTGTCCATTGCCTTGCTCTGTTGGCTTCCCCAGTCAGCTGTCTTGTCTCAGTTGCTTTTCCAGCCACTCCAACAGAGCAGAGTCATCCGGACCGGCTCCCACATCGGCCAGCTGCTCACAAAACCACACCAGTGACTCGACCAGGTCTCCCACAGTCCAGCCAGTCAGCTGTGCCCTCTGGGCTATGGTGCAGAACTGAACGGCAAAACAGCGGTAATCAGCAGTGTGGCTGTTAACATCGTTACCAACCTAGCCTGACAGCTGACAGAATGCAAATTCATTAATTTTCCTGGCAATTGTTATTATTGTTCATTAATCACTGCCACTTTAAATATCAGTACCTTGTTATCCTACATGCATGTTACTGTATATATATTGTGCGTTGCTTTTATATTGTATGCTATTGTTCACTTTTCTGCCACTGCTATTTATTGTTCTTCATTGTTACATATTGTTTATGTCTCCAGGGAGGTACACAAGCAAGTGTTTCACTGTACTTGTACAAATGACAATAAAGCTTTTGAACCCTTATCATTATGAAGGTTTCATCATCTCTGTCAAGCAATAAACACATTATGGTACTTTTGGGTCACCCAGACAATATACAGATGCTGAATATACTGTATATGCTAAATATATACTCAGAATGGACATATAAAATGAACTGGGAAAGTTGGAATTATTGGGCTGAATGTTGCTGGAGTGCATGCAGTACCGCTTGAAGCGCATGTGGCGTCTGCCTGTGTTGCTTAATGGCTTGACCAGCCCTGAGTACGAGAATGCTATTGGTCGCCAAGTACGCTCTTTTGCTTGGAATTTCCCTCCTGGATTTGGTCTCGGCTGTGAATCTGTCATTATAATCACAAAGGACGGAATCAGCCATACGAGCCAGTGACACATAACGCTCTACATTTATTCAGGTTCCGGGACTACCGACGGGTTGCTGGGGTCCCATTGTGTTCATGCATTGAACAATCATGTGAGAGTAATGTGGCGGGTAGGCAGTCAGATACGTCGGGATTATGGGTTCGAATCAGGTTCCAGCTACGAGCTGGCGTCCTCCCGTCCGTGTGGGTTTTTTGCAAGTACTCAGGTTTCCACCCACAATCCAAAGACATGCTATTTGTGTTACTTAGTGACATCACATTGGCCATTCCGTGTGACTGAGTGTATGTATGTGTGCGCACACTCTGCCACGGGCTGGCAGTCTGCCCAGGGCATGTTCTGCCTTATGACTTATACAAGCACCTGACCATCATGACATAATTCGGTATTTATTAAAAATGGATGGATGGATATTATAGCTACGTCTAGTTAAGTCATCTGGAGGGGGTGATCTTCAGCTGAAGGAAGTAAACAGTAAATAAAAGCGACTGACACGGCCCTGGCGTACCTGTGTGTAAAGCCGTACGTCCGTCAGAGTGAGCTGGAGCTTCCCCACGTCCACGTAGGAGGCGGCAGCCCAGAGGATCAGGCCCTGCAGGACCTGCAAGCTGCCCGGGGTCTGGCTGCCCAGCAACACCCTGATCTCTAACCCCTCAGGGCCCCAATGGGTCGTCCGCCTTTGTACATCCTGCTTAGCAGCTGCTAACACGGAGCCCCTCAGCACCTCCTCCGCTACGTCTGCGGCGAAGGAGCAGCAGCTGGGTGGAGGAGGGGGAACACACTGCATCGGTCTTACTCTGCCACAGCTCTGGGTTCCAGGACTAGGGTGTGGTCTCCGCTCCTGGTCCAGCTGCATCTGAAGCACGACTTGTTGCATAGCCTTGTTTACTAGAGCCCTTGCAAACTCCTCCGGACTGTTTATCCCAGAGTCAGAAGCCAATGAGGCCTCCTTGTTCCCTAGGGCCTTGCTGCTAGGCACGATGTCCATGGTTTGCCTCCATGGTGAAGACGTGTCACCAGCCATCTCCTGCTTTGCAGCCTCCTCCTGGAGTGCGGCTGCCAGGGCCCTCTCTACCCACTGCTCGGCTGCTGCTTGGAGTCTGTCATACCCTGACGCATCGCCCATTGACCTGCTAGAGATACATGTGTCCACAGGGCTTTTGTTCACCGGCTGGAGGTCACATCCAGGAGACAGAGTAGGTTCTCGGTGAGTGCACATGGACTGGTTACCAGCAAAGAGTGCTCCTCCATTTGGCTCCTCTGGATGTTCCATGTTGTGGGTGGCAAGAAAGCCAATGATTTCCGCAGATAGGTGTGCGGCATATTCTGACAGCCCGGACACCTCCACCTGGGCGGCTACATCTCTTCTTACCTCATCTTGCTCACCATTCGACACGTTCAGGCCTCCTTGCATGCACTCCAGGGAGAGCGAGCGCAGGAGCCGAGCCACAAAGTCTGTCTTGTCCTCCTTGTAGGTGGGACTCCCTTGCACTGAGTCTTTGGGGGTGGGGGGTGGCGGGGAAGGACGGAATCCATTAGCCAGCCCCCGTTTGAGATTCCTGCAGAACAGTACGGGGCTGCTGGCTCTCTCAGGCAGGAGGGGGGAGGTGGGAGGAGGGTTGGGGTAGTCAATGGAGCCCTCACTGGGCAGGCCAGCGTTAGAATCGAGGACATCCTCATCGCAGGTCAACTCGTCGTCATCCCCCTCTACCTCCCACTCGCCTCCCCACGCATGGCCTTCCATGAGGACAGGAACCCTGGGGGATCTGTCAGCCTCCAACTCTTCACCCTGACCATCTTCTCGGGGTCCACAGACGGAATTCCCTAACTGAGACCTAGCCGACTGCATGACACTTCTGGCCAGTGTCTGGGCGAATTGATTGAGGATCTGATCCCTCGTTGCCCCCAGTAGTTCCTGACTTGTATTTACCTCCCTACCAACAGCATCCTTCAGGTCCTGGGCATATGTTCCAAGTGATCTCAGGACTGAGGACTTTTCATATGTTGGTGGAGGGAAGAACTGATAATTGACAGTCACCCCCAATAAACCCTAGAAACAAGACACAATCTAATCAAATTAGGCCTATTTAAATTGCATCTTGAGTTGTGCATAAGGCAATGCTATGTAGTTGTGTTTGCACCATAAAACCACTATTTCCTATTACAGAATAATAATTCATTTATTTATTTTATGGCAATCATGCGATTGAATGTACGGTGAACACTTTACAATAAGGATACCCGTATAAAGGGTTTATGAATGGTTTATAATCTGGTTATTAATTAGGTTGTAACACTTTGTAAATTACCAATAGACAATTTTAAACAAGTTATAACACTGTTTTCTTTTTTATTAATGAGTTACTACCATTTACAAGTGGCAAAAGAGACCCTTATTGTAAAGTGGTACCGAATGTACTTAAAAGCTTAATTTACAATGTAGATGAGTGTAAATCTCCCTTTGTCCAGTCAGAGGCACTCTTTCACTGATTTGCGCCCAGAGTCTGCAGAGCTTTGTCTCCCCCTGGTGCCTGATGGAAGCATCTGCACAGTGCGCAGCAGGGCCTACCTGATTGCGTCCCTGAAGCGAATCCGCGTTCAGCTGGCACAGTCGGAGTCGGCTGCTCAGCCAATCTTCATCCACAGCCATCTACTTATAGCGGGAAAACAGCACTCAGCCAAAGCATACTCAGGGAATTCCAATATCAAACCAGAGCTTTTGTTAGTCACACAAACTGCCCTGAGCTCAGTTTAAACTGCCAGACGAAGCTTGAAATCTCTTTTTCAGTCATCTGACTGGATGTGCAACTATTCCAGCCAAACTATATCATTAAATTATGTAGAGCATGACAGGAGGCAGAAGGAAAACAGAAGCTACCAGAGTGACAGTCAACGGCAGAACTGAAAGCTGTCAGTACGCAGTTTCTGGTCATGTGACAGACAGGAAATAAAGCTACTTTCGTCTGAGAAGTGGTCATAATTACTGGGAAATATGTTGGGTTCCCAGAGGCTGTAAAGCATTACAGGTCCGTCCACAGTGCACCGCCCACAGCTGACAAAGAGGCATAGAAAAGTGACACACTAATGAATAAATATATGGTCAATACTGTGCGGAGATTTTAAAACATCCACTTGCCAAGGCTCATTCTCACTCCTGTCCTATCAGAGCTGGAGTATGAATACTTATCAATTATGTAGTATGAATAATACATTCATACTGTTTTTGACCCAACCATACTTTATACACAGAAAGTTAGCAGGCTTCAGGAAAGACAGATTACTATGGGAATGTTTCTAGATCAAGGTCCTACTTTATAAGTGGTTGCACATGTTTCATGTAAAAATGTGTGGACAGTCCCAGAAATGCCTCCATTTCAGTCCAAATCAGCCATTAAACATGCATTTTCCGTGGCTGGTTTACAGCATCTGTCTGATAACCTTTAAATACATATGCATCCTGTTATATTTATAAATCCAGTGTTTCAGAAAAAAACCTCTCAACTATCATTTTTTTAAGGTCCCTTGTGATTAGTATTCAGCCATTTCAGTGTCACTTCATCCCCCAACCAAATTTTCTCAACGGACTGTTAGGCAGAAAAAGGAAGTAATGCAAAGTAAATCGACAGGTTTAGATATCTGAATAATAAAGCAGACAAAACTCACCTTTACGGAGGGATGGACAGAAATTAGTGAAAGAGACCAGTTAGTTTACACAAAGACTGCACACGGAAACTGTAAGTGATGAGGCCACAAGACAGAACTCACTCACTTCCTGTTTTACAGCTCCAGCTGTATTTTCAAATCTGTCCATGCGTGCAAGTGTGCATATATGTGTGACAGGGCAGACCTCTTCCGTTCTGTCTCATTTTTTCCTATGCATTTCTAGGCCTGGTAAGCTACAGCTTTAAGCTTTAAGCATGCCTTTACAGAACTGCTGGTATAAACTTTTTCCTCACAAGGAGATTGCAAGTATGAAAATCTACTTCCTCTTTCATCAGTGAATGTAACATCTGCACTCAGATGGTACAAGCCTAAAAATCAGGCTAACTCATATGCCTGGTGTACTTTCAGTTCACCGGCCTCTGTGAATCCAGGATTGACCTGTGTATCTTAATTTGTAATTCTGTGACCAGACAAGGGCTGCACAAAAGTATGAGTAAAACAGACATAATAAAACATTATACATTTTATAAGCACATGTACGGCATTGAATAGATAACTATAACAGTAAGCCAGATTACCACATTAATAATAACTTAATACATAGTTTTTAAGTTCTATGTAATGTGCAGGATAGATATTGTGCGCGACATCGTGAACAAAATCACCAATACAAATGACTGTCTGATTATTAACTATCAGTACTGTCTGATATTCTAGATAGATTAATGCATTTATGGTAAATGACTTTGCTTGAGTTTTATATGCCATTGCTATTAAACGTTCCATGTGAATTATTATCACCTTTTTTTTGTTGTTTAAAATCAGTTCAGAAGCATGGCAGAGAAAGAAAAAAGAACGCTGATTCGTGATGTAGTATTAAACGAAAATTCGATTGGCTTCTAATAAAATTTGAAATTTCTAATGAGCCCGCCTCTTACTGACGACGTCCTCGTTCGTTGGTTGCTGGATATCACTTCGAACCAGTTGGCTGTCAGGCGAAGATACGGATATAAAGTAGCAGTTTTAATTACAAACTGGCCGGTGATACCCAGTAATATAACATTTGTTTTCCGAGTGTGTTTGTCAGTGATATCTGGCAAGATAGATTATGTCGTTTGCCAAGTTCAACAGGAATGTCGGTACTTTGGTATGCAGGTATAGGCTGCTACCGTCATGATTAGTGACCAGACGTCCAAGTTTCAGAATGCCTGTCCCGATTATTTTCAAAAATATGTAATACGTCCTTCGTTCAGACAATTTCCTATTGTTGTCACAGAGAACGTAAATACTAGCGCAGGCGGATTTGCTGAATGTCTTAAGTTGTGTTTCAGCGAACGCCAATGCTGTCAGTAACGGCAGTTATGATTGTCCTCGCGATGACTTGCAGCACGCGACATCTCGTGACTCGCGTGCGACCCATTAGATAGTCAGCTAGAATGCAATAATACCCCCAAACTGTTTTTAAAGCGAAAGATGCAGGATATGTAGCGGTTTCCGTTCTGCTACAAGCTAAAACCAAACGAGGTGTTTTGTGATTTCTGTATGTCTACATTTTATGTTCAGTGACAGGGGTCAACACCATGGCGAATTCTGATGAACATTTTGATGTTTCTTTTTTAACCGCGGACATGGTATTTTAAAACGTGTTCTCAACACAACACGTCAAATTGACAATCCCTGATAAATAGGTATGGTTAACATGCATCCTGATATTACGTGTTACAAAGCACGCTTAGGTGTGACTAAAGATCTAATCACATTTTTCATAACAAATACTGGAATATCTAATTTGGTATGGGAACATTTTTTTTTTGTAAATGTATAGTTTTTTTATAGTTAAATTTACCAACTACGGTATCTACAGTAATAATAGTAGTTTAGGTTTAGACATGTGTACCTGTTAGGCTATATGTTTAATTGGCATTTTGGCATTAAATGTCTGATTTACTTCAACATCTTATGATACCTTATTAATAATCTGCTGCTGGTCAGAATGGGGAAAGAAACTGCACTACAAGCAATTCCTCAATCTCTTTATAAGGGTTCAAGGATTCTTGAATATACACATCACTACAAAGGGCAAAATCTACAGGATTGCTATGCTTGAGGAATGAAAGCTACTTTATAGCACCCTGTGACCCCTTACAAGTCTCAGTAATAATACTCACCTTGTGAAAATAAGGCCAGTGATTGATTTTTCTGACATAGCCAATAAAATTATGTCACACCAGCAAGATATAAGTATAGATGTTTAACACAACTGATGACAGCCTACTTAAGAATTGAGATCAATCGATTAAGTGTATTAGGTGATCATTATATGAGTTTCTCATTCTTAGGTCTATTCATTTCCAGGGCTATAAAGCAGGGGCATAGCTAGAAATTCTGCCCCCCCAACAAAATGTCACCTTGGGCCCTCTGCTTGAGTTGAAGAATTAGAAATAGAATTTGTTGATGGTGGGGGCTGGGGGGCCCTGGAATCTGCCAGGGATTCCATGCCCCTGTGACACCCATAGTGTGAAGTTACAAGCTACAAATATTCTTGTGATTGTAATTGAGTTTTTTTTTTTTTTTTTACAATGTGCACTGTATTAAGTAGGTTAAAATTGGTGTTGTTATACTTCTAACCTTGCCCATTTCCAGTGTAAATGTGTTGAGTTGGGCACATTGCAAAAAGAACTATTGTGTCTTGACCCACCTTGACCCAGAGTTCAAATAAAGAGTTGGAACCAAGAGAAAAAGATGAATTTAATTTCTATAAAAATGAACCAAAAAAAAAAAAAAACAGCCATAGGTCAAAATTCGATGTGTTAAACTGTAGCTATACACATGTAAGATTGGAGTCTCCTTTGATTGTGAATAGATGGGGAGAGGAACATGTAAAAGTTTAGTAGAACACAGGCTGGGCAAACAGAGCTAACATTCAAGACAGCTGTAAGTTCTGTAACTTTCCTTATGGAGAAGATACTGCTTTATATCCTTAACAATTAATTCTCCGTTACCAATTAGTAGAAGGGCTTGTCCTCTGACCTTGCACTTTTTCTGGAAAATTTCTCCTTTCCTCCAGTCTCACAGTGTGTTTGACAGAATTAAGTATGAGAGGTTTATCATGCGTGTCTTTTCTTGCATGACTTGCAGGCACCTGCTGGCTTTGAAGTGCAGTGCTTTGTACAAGCAGAAAAAGGATGACACCCCCCCCCCCCCCACCCTTTTTGCTTTTTAGATGTCCACCTCACATCCTTAAAAGGGACTGAAGCAAGGGACAGTTGCACATCTGGGAAATAGTGATGTCCTCTGGCAAGGATCCTGCCCTTTCATGTCACCCTGGGCACCTGCTGGTGAGTACACTGGAGGCGTGCCTCCCTCCGGTCTAGCTTAGCCCAGTCGCACAGTCTTGCACCAACATGGATACGGTAAGGATAGTTATTCCCAGTAATCTTGGATATATGCCTTTTCGCGTTACTCTTACACGTTGTTGTGAAATCTTTCTCTTTTGAACCATTTATAGAAAACGGTTGCAATTTCCTTAGTAAACAATGCAATGCTATGTTGTGGGACTGCCCTCTGATTGGTTTCCCTGGGCTTCAATTTCAGTCACACATTGACAAGAAAGGCCATGATGAATTGTTTGGGCCAGGTCATCTTGCACACAGCAGATATGCCAGTGAGGATATGGTGAATTAAACCATGACATGGTGCTTTTTTTGCTTCCTGGCTGGACAATGATGGCTTGGGACAGAACATACTTACCAAAACGTCAGTAGAGCAAATGCTAAAGTGGCACCCAAACTTCCAGCCAAAGAGAGAAATGTCCCTTTTATATGTTGTCTTGTTCTTCTCCTTATTAGTTGTGGACAGCTGACCTGTTCCTTGTTAGTCTGAATTTTGTGCATATGTCATGTTCATCGCTTTAAGGTCTGTCCTCTTTCTGATCCTTTCTTTGTCCAGTGCTGTTGTGCTGGTCCGCTGCTAATCTTTAGCCTGTGTGTGGTGTTTGCATATTGTTCTCTTGCACAGGTTTCCCAATAGTCCAAAAATCTGCAGTTAGATGATTTTACCTGTCTAAATTGGCATTAATGTTTGTGTGCGTGCCCTGTAATGAACTAGCATCCTGTCCAGGAGGTCACCTTCCATATTCCCTGTTGTTTTTGGAATAACCTACGGGCTCAAGTGACTCTGTATTGCATAACCAGTTACGGAAATTGGATGGATGGATACAGTATATACATCCATGGTCAGCTGAAAGGTTTATAAATTAGATTTGAGGGTGAAATGACAAGAGCAACAAGTTATATTCTGATATACTGGTATAAAAGTACCCTCTACAGTGACCTAAGTAACCCAAGGACTAGCACAGACTCAGAGTATCACTTTGCCCAGTTTTTCCTGAAGCATAACAGTAATGAAATTGCTGAAATTCTAAGCTTTTATTCCAAGTGTGGAGTTTCAAACCGTGCCTGGATGCATTTGGTAATTAAAATGTGAATTGTGTTTGTGCAGCAGTTTAGGTAAAGCTTAGATCACTCGTGAAGGGCAGGCGCGTTTTCATTAAGTGCGGCATTGAGTGAAGGGCACTTTGGCTCACTTTTCTCCATCACAGAGTAACCATGCAGTATGACTCTGTGGCAGGTTGTGGAGTGGAGGTGGTCATAGGGTGGGACAGGGGCGAGAGTGGCCTTGGGACTGCCAGCCCCAAAGAAACTTAACATTTATTGCCCAGACCTACAAAGTAAGCCTGACCTTTGGCCCTGTAAAAATACATAACTTTTAAAAGTCCATGTCAGGTGAGCCTCATCAATTATGACAATTTGACATGGGCCTGGACCTTTCAAACTCAGGAAACGAACATGAACATGCAGCAGACGGATTATTTCCTCACTGTGAAAATACATGTGCTCACAGTCATACTCATATACTCTTTCTGGGGAAGAAGCAGCTCCTTGTAGCAATGGCAGTAGAGCCTTGTGGTGCTCCCCAGTGTGAATGTGTCAGTATGGGGATCCTATGACTCGAGCTGGTGCTCGAGAACCTCCTGCCTGGCCTCTAACAGCAGGCCCTGCTCTCCCAGAGAGTTACAACGATGAGCAGGGAAGAGACAGATGGTATGTGATGCCTGGGATGGAGGGGAATGGTGAGCAGAGTGAGCGGGTTAAGAGGCCAGTGCCAACTATTTGTTACAAATTACAAATCAATGTGTATTTATGTGTTCATTCTGGTTGCTTAGCAGGCACTCTTCTGCAGAGCGTCCTTAAAATTCTGCACTTTCACCCGTTTCATACAGCTGTGTATTTATTGCAGCAGTTCAGCTTAAACGGCTTCCTCAAAGACTCAAAGCAGGGCCTCTCTTGGAGCTCAAAGGGGAAAACTGTAACCATGTGGCAAACTGAGATCAAATACACTGATTATCAATATCCTTTTTGTCAGCCTGTGTTTGATCTTGCATGACAAGACAGAGGGGCTTCTCGCTAGGCTTCTGCTCCTTTCCTGTGCCATTTTAATTACGTTCCGGTGCAGAATGTCGCCAGCTTTCCCTCTTTCTTCTCTGCCTTTCGTCGTGATTCCCCTGTTGACACGGTGTTTTATCGGAGATAAGCTTGCACCGCTGATCATTTGTAGATCCTTTTCACAGTGGATCGTGTGCTTTGTGAATTTAAATCCAAGATATGGTGTGAACTAAATCCCCAAGCTAACGTGAACTTTTGTCACAGTCATGGAAAACGGAGTAACAAGCTGAAAGTCCAGTGTTATTCAGTGAAACATAAATCTGCAGTGTCAGAACTGAAGGCACCTTTTTCTGTCTTTTAAAAACGTTTAGTTCTGTAGTCCTACCTTGGCTGCATTGGACCTACTCTCTTGGTCAGAAAGCTTCAGTGTACGTTGGTCTTGATTTGGCACTGCATGCTGAAGGCAGTGAAGATTAACTGCTCTGCCGAGGGGTTTCCAGTGGGCCATACCTCAGCACAGTTTTTGCTTGATTAGCTGTGAATGCGATACTCAGCTTTAATCCAAAAGTAAGAGTGCTTTTTTGTCGCAAATTTATTGCTGAATATTGGTTGGCATCGTCATGCACGCTTGTCAGCCAGTCCCTTCAAGAATCTGAATCTGCAGTGACAGCTGTTTCTCATGTGCTCACTTTAGTGCACATTCTGCCTATTTACTATTTTCAGAACTTGCTTTCTGTTGGACACTGAAAAATGAATAGAAGCCACGGTGTTATTTATTGACTATCTTTATCAGTATGTATTTGTTTTTTACCAGCTTGTATATTTTGTAACGTTACATTTAAATCAACCATTTATTATGTACATTTTATAAGGTCTAAGTGTAGCGTTCTTGTATCATTCTTTATTCGTTCATTTTAAAGATGAATATTCCTTTAAATAAAAAAATAAAA